ATAGATGGAAAGAGGAGAATTCTGTTTTGTACTACCCTTTCCTCTCTTTCTTTCTTTCTTTCTTTCTTTCTTTCTTTCTTTCTTTCTTTCTTTCTTTCTTTCTTTCTTTCTTTCTTTCTTTCTTTCTTTCTTTCTTTCTTTCTATCTTATAGAGTGGAATATGGAAAGAATAAGATGGTATAGGTGTGTGTGTGTAGGGGAGAGGGTAATTGTAGTATACTTTTATCTAAAATTCATTAATAGGCACTAAAAGACTAAGAAACTAATTACTAAAATGCAAATTTTGAAAGGATAAGCAAGTTGAAACTGACAGTCACTGTTAAAGGAAATTAAGAGGTAAGTCGTTCCTTAGAGCTATATTAGCTATATTTCTTTTCTTTTTTTTATGATTTATTTGAAAGTCAGAGTTACATAGAGAGAAGGAGAGGTAGAGGTAGAGGTAGAGGTAGAGAGAGAAAGAGAGAGAGAGAGACAAAGAGAGAGAAATCGATCTTCAATCCACTGGTTCACTTCCCAGTTGGCTGCAACGGCCGGAGCTGAGCTGATCTGAAGCCAGGAGTCAGGAGCTTCTTCTGGGTCTTCCGCATGGGTGCAGGGACCCAAGCACTTAGGCCATCTTCCACTGTTTTCCCAGGTCATAGTAGAGAGCTGGATCAGAAGTGGAGCATCCGGGACTCGAACCAGCACTCATATGGGATGCCAGCACTACAGGTGGCGGCTTTACCCGCTGTGCCACAGTGCCGGCCCCAAGCTATATTTAAATTCTGTAATATTTGTAAAGTGTTTAATGCATCAAGGTATTGCAGATGATAAACACATGGATTTGTCCTGTTCATGTATATAAAGAAAATAAAGATCTGCATTTGAGGGTGGCCAGGAGATAAAAACAAGATAAATTAGATGCTAAGACTACATACAAGATGTAATATTTTGAGTGCTAATAGAAAGGGACAAAGAATACGAAGTTTTCGGGAATTAGAACTTATTAGAAAGGTAGCATTTTATGTTGTAGAAAATCATCCTTATACAGGAGGAGTGGTGATAGAACTCTCCAAATGGGTGAAACAGTACTATCAGAGGTATTGTAAATAAGATTCATGGGCAGTGTTTGGTAAATGTGGAGGTAGCAACAGGACATAAATCTGTCAGGATAAATTGGAATGTCAGAAGACTTTACATACTAAAGGCAGAATATGTCTTCAATTTAATAATAATGATATAATAGCTACCACTTACTGATTGTAAAATTTATGCTAGGTCCTATTTTAGGTGCAGTGCATATATTATCAAGAATGTTTTAATAATTCCCAAGATAGATGCTTTCTCCCTTTTAGAAATGGAAAAATATCAAATATCAAATAGATAATTGGGGGAGTTGAAATTAAAAACAAGAACTATGTGATTCCTAAAATCATGACAGTACTTGCTTATTCTAAGTCACTGGGATTGATACTTTGTCTTTTTATAGAAAAAATCAGTTAATATAGAGGGTTATAAAATTATCCTACATATGATTAAAGTTTTTAATACAGGAGCTGGCACTGTGGCGTAGTGGGTTAAGCCACTGCCTGAGGTGCTGGCATGCCGTATGGTACTGGTTCGAGTCTCAGCTGCCTCACTTCCAATCCAGCTCCCTGCTAATGTACCTGGGAAGCAGTGATACATGATCCAAGTGCTTGAGTCCCTGTACTCATGTGGGATACTCAGAAGAGGCTTCTGGCTTCAGCCTGGCCCAGCCCCAGCTGTTTTGGCCATTTGGGGAGTGAACCAGTGGTTGGAAGGCCTCTCTCTGTATCTCTCTCCCTTTCCCCTTCCCCCTGTGACTCTATCTTTCAAATAAATCAATCTTTTAAAAAAGGTTTTTAATATAATGCAACTAAATGTACATTTGTTTACCAGTATTTTGAGTAGAGTAGGAATTTGCAGTTTGGCATTCCAAGAATCTTAAGATAGTTTTAAAGGTGTGTGAACGTAGAATTTGTCTACTCAGTGGTTCAAATTATGGTCCTAAGACCAGCAGCATTTGCGTCAGTGTCACCTGAAAATGAGTAGATTTTTGGGCCCTATCCTAGACCTACTGAATTAGAAGCTCTGAGAGTGAGGCCCTATCATCTTCTTTTTAATACTATTTTTAGATGATTCTGTTCCACATTATAGTTTGAAAAGCACTGATTTATGTGTCACCTAAGAAGTCTTTTGCAGTTGTCAAGCTAAGGGTTATAAAGATGTGAACATTAATCTAATGGCAGTGAGGAGAAAAAGAAACGGTGTGGAGGAGGAATTTTCAGAGGAGCTTGCTAGCTAATATGAGATATAATAGAATATTGTAGTTAAGTTTTGTTAAGTTGTTTGAGACTTCATACACAGGTCTCGTTGAATAATGTCCCTTTAATAGAAATAGGTAAATCAAGAGAGAAAGTGGTGTGAGTGGATTAGTAGTATGATGGATTTGGTTATTTTGGCTTTGATATGGTGAAAGAATATAAAGTAGCCTTATCCAGCAGGTAGCTTATATACAAGTCTGGCATTCTGGAGAGAGGGTTGGGCTGAAGAAAGAATTAAATGAGTCACCTATTGGTATTAAATTGGAAGTTGAAGCTCCATAAAGGAAAAGACATTTGCTCAATTCCTTATTTTTAATTTGATAGTTTACCTTTACAAATTTATATTTGTTGTCTACTGCCTCTTTAATTCTTCCAAATAATGGGATGAAATAAATATGATGATTGCCAAGTTACAGATGAGAAGGTTGAAACTTGCCAGGGTCACCCAGCCAGTAAGTGGTACAGATGGAGGTGACACTCAGGCCTTTGTGACCTGAGCCTGTACTTTGCTCTAATACCACATAGCTTCACATCAGATACTCTGTTTGACTTTAGAGGCCTGCAATGTCTATGGCAGGCTGGCCAGTTACAGTACTGAGACAGCCTGGGAATTCCAGGAAGTAGTGATCTGTTCAGAGGTAAAGAGGTGGAAAGCAGGAAATCCCAATCAAAAGAAGTTAAATGGAAGATGAAGGTGAAATCCATTGACTACGTGGCTGAGGTGGCTGTTCTTTAGAGGAAATGCAATCATGTAATAAACATGGAACTGAAGAGTATGTGTGAATTCCATGATGAATTATAGAAGTAAATGACTTAGGATCTCCTTGATCTTATGCATTGTGTATGTGGAGGCTCTTATACAGTGAATATTCAAATAAGAAGTCATGGAAATAGTGACATTTACAAAAGTGGCCCTTTTTCAGTTATCTGTGATTTGAGAGGTCACAGAAGCTTTAACCTTTCTAAATCATGTTATAAATTAAAATTACTGCCTTTTATGTTCAGTAAATATATTTCATAAATGTTTGCTTTGTGGAACTTTTGCCATATCATATTTGCAATGCTGTCTGAGTTTGCAAACTAATTTTTTTAAAGATTTATTTATTTATTTGAAAAGCAGTTACAGAGAGTCAGAGGCAGAGGCAGAGAGAGAGAATGAGAGAGTGAGAGAGAAAGAGAAAGTCTTCCATCCGCTGGTTTACTTCCCAAGTGGCTGCTACAGTAGGAGCTGCGCTGATCCGAAGCCAGGAGCCAGGGGCTTCCTCCAGGTCTCCCACGCAGGTGCAGGGGTCCAAGGACTTGGGCCATCTTCTACTGCTTTCTCAGGCTATAGCAGAGGGCTGGGTTAGAAGAGAAGCAGCCAGGACTCTAATCAACACTCATATGGGATGCCAGGGCTTCATGCAGTGGCTTTATCTGCTATGCTACTGCAAACTAATTTTATTAGTGTCAAGCTAATTGTATGAAGAAAAGTTTCTAATATGTTCAGTTATCTGGGATACTTCTCTCTGTAAACATAGTCAGAAAACTGTTTAGAAAGAATTGAACTCAATTACTATTTTTTTAAATATTTATTTTATTTATTGGAAAGACAGAATTACAGGGAGAGGCTGAGACAGAGAGAGGTCTTCCATCCACTGGTTCACTCCCCAGATGGCCGCAATGGCCGCAGCTGTGCCAATCCGAAGCCAGGAGCTAGGAGTTTCTTCTGGGTCTCCCACGTGGGTGCAGGGGCCCATGGACTTGCGCCATCCTCCACTGCTTTCCCAGGCCACAGCAGAGAGCTGGATGGGAAGAGGAGCAGCCGGGACTAGATCCAGTGCCCATATGGGATGCCAGTGCTTCAGGCCAGGACTTTAACCTGCTGCGCCACAGCGCTGGCCCCAACTATTTTTAATATTTACACAAAATCTCTTCTGATCGTGGATGCTTAACCTTTTTCTATTTATTGTTTCATAGCTATTATATTATAGCATCAACTTGAAAAGTTAGTAAAATCTCTAACAACTGCTTTTCCAAGTCATTCATGTGTTAAAGATAGGAACATATAAAAGAAACGTGAGAGGGGCTGTCGCTCTGGTATAGCAGATAGAGCTGCTCCCCGCAGTGCTTGCATCCCATATGGGTGTCTATTGGAGTTCTGGCTGCTCTACTTCCAATCCAGCTCTCTGCTATGTCCTGGGGAAGCAGTAGAAGATAGCCCAAGTCCTTGAGTCCCTGCACCCATGTGGGAGACCCAAAAGAAGCTCCTGGCTCCTGGATTTGGATTGGCTCAGCTCCACCCATCTGGGGAGTGAACCAGAGGATGGAAGATCTCTCTCTCTGCTTCTGCCTATCTGTAACTCTGCCTTTTCCGATAAATAATAAATCTTAAAAAAAAAAAAAAAAAAGAAATGTGAGAGACTCCTAATTAAGTTTAGGCTGCTTCTGAAATTTACTTTTCCTCCTTATTGTAATCTTTAAATGATGCTTATTGCCAAGTGTCTAAGAAAGAAACAAAGCGAAACAAAATTCTAGATTAGCTTGACGATCAGATGAATGACCAATTTAATTGTTGTTTAAGGTAAGAAATATTAGAATGTTATGGATATTTCTATGCTAACATTTTTTTTCTGGATATGGTTAACAAGTGAGTTCATTAATATTTTCTGCATGTATTTAAAAACTTTTTTGCAGCTATGAATTTGTGAAATACCTTAGACAGCGCATATGCAACACTCTGGGGTCCATGATTGAAGAAGAAATGGAAAAATGCATATCTGATCAGAATCAGGATGATGAATCTGGCTATGACACAGTAGTACAGCACGTTACTAAGAGAACTCAGGAATCTAAAGAGTGAGTATACCTCCAGTAGTACTTTAAAATAATTTTTGTCTCAGCAGGGCTTCTTGTCAACACCCCCAACCTGTAACCTCCTTAATCTGTTTCTGTCATAGTAGCCTAAGTGATTCTTTAAAACACTGAAGATCACGGCATGGTTCTACTCAAAACTCTCTCTCCATTGGCTTCCTGTCTTGCTCAGATTAAAATCCAGAGTTCTTTCCTACCATGAGTCTCCTGTTCCTTTCCCTACCTCTGTTCTTATCAGACTCCCCCTCATGCTCCTCCAGTCACACCGGTCTTGCTCTTTCTCAATCAGACCAAGTAAGGCTCTCCCTTGGAGTTGCAGTCATGTTGCCTCTGTTACTTTAAGTGCCTTTTTCCTAAACATTTGCCCGAGTTACTCCTTCACATTTTGGGTCTTAGATCAATGTGTTCTAATTAAAAAGTCTTTCCCTGACTTCTGTGTCTGAAATAGTAGATTTTCCCTGTTACTTTCTCTTTCTCTTACTTTGCTTTATTTTTCTTCTTACCTATTTTGTCACTGATTAATAATGGGTTATATATGTGCTTGCTTATTTTGGGTGTTTCAAAGAAAAAAAAAAAGAAAGTAAACCCTTACACAGATAAATAATTTTATCTTTATTTTTTTTGTTGGTGCTGGATCATAAGACCTAAAAAATGTCTTGTACATCTTTACATGTTTAAAAGGTGTTTGTTGAATGAATTATGAAAGTATCTGTTGCCAAAATAATCAGCGTTATTGATGTTTGAAATAATTCTGGCTTTCATAACATTATTTTCTCTCTTTTTGTTCCTTCTTAATAGTTATATGCTCATATACATTTAATAACTACCATGTGTTAGGTGTTAGATTTTGGGATTATAAAGGTGAATAAGATGCCTTTAACCCTTCAGCAGTCTATGGTATAATGAGGACTGTAACATGAGGCTGAAAAAGAAATGTGAAATAGTTTCAGGAAGTACGATAAATGCTATGATACAAGTCTAGAGGAAGAATATATTAGACTATCCATTGAGCAGTTGTAACAAAGAGATACCAAAATGCAGAGGATCAGAAAGGCAACCTTTTTCTCTGTTACATATTTTGTTCACAAGTACATACATGCAAGGTGGGTAGGTGAGTTTGCTCAATAAATATATCCAGGAACCCAGGTTCATTTTATTTTGTTGTTCCATGATATCCTACGACAGGGACTGGCCTTTAAATTGCCATATAAAATTTTGGGCTTTGCAGACCTGTTGTAATATGGAAATGGCTATAGACAATACATAAATGAAAAAATGTGCATGTGGTGTAAATTTTATTTACAAAAACAGGTGCTAGGACACTGTGGGTCCATAGGACATATTTTGCCAACCCCTGGCCTAGGAGATTGTTATTATCTGCCTGGTTGAAGCAGCCACCCTAACTGTAGAGCTAAATGTCATCCAGGCCAAGGGAGGAAAGAGACAAGGGCAAGATTCTTCACTGACTTCCTTTCCTTTGGCTGAAACCAGATCATGTGCCCACATGTATCAGAGATGGAAGCCAGGAAATTTGGTACCAGGGTGACGACCACGTGCCACAGCAAAAACTTTGGGAAGGTTTCTAATACCTGGAAGGGGGACAGATGCATACTAGGGACAGTTAACAAACACGCCCACAAGGGCCATTCAAGCTAGTCTGACGGTAATCACGGAACACTAAATGATAAGTTAGTCACTTATGATTCAGTTTTTAATAAACTAATCTTTTTTGAAAGCTTTTATTTAATAAATGCAAATTTCATAGGTACAGCTTTTGGAATATAGTGGTTCTTCCCCTACTACCTGCCGTTCCACCTCCACTCCCATCCCACCTCCTACTCCCACTCCCATCTCATTATTCATTAAGATTCATTTTTAATTATATTTATATACAGAAGATCAACTCTATACTAAGTAAATATTCAACAGAATAAACTAATCTTAACTCCACAAAACTTTGAGCTGTTTGTTCTAGAAGATACCTTTGAAATCATTTGTTCTGTTAGTTGAATGAAGTGACTTGTCCAGAATAGTACACATGATTGATACTGAAAGCCAGTGTGAAGCCCGTTTGTCTTAGCTTCCCTTTGAGGACACTTTTCAATATATGTTGACTCTAAGAATTCTTATGTTATTCTTTTTATAGTTATTTGTATTCTAGACTCCCCGATAATTCACTGGTAATTCCTAAGGGCAAGGATGGTGTGGTATATACAAGTCTGACTTTAAACTCGTTGCATTGTTTTCCGTATATATTGTTAATGACTTGTCTGGTTTTCTGGCTTGACAGATTGGGGAATACTAGAGTTTTTGCTTGATTTATTACTTCAGAAACTTCATCTTGATTTTTTTTAAGATTTATTTATTTATTTGAAAGACAGAGTTAGAGAGAGAGAAGGAGAGGCAGAGAGAGAGAGAGAGAGAGAGAGAGAGAGATCTTCTGTCAGCTGATTCACTCCCCAAGTGACTGCAATGACCAGGGCTGTGCCAGGCCGCAGCCAGGAGCCAGAAGCCAGGAGCTTCTTCTGGGTCTCCTACTTGAGTGCAGGGGCCCAAGCACTGGGGCCATCCTCCACTGCTTTCTCAGGCACATTGGCAGGGAGCTGATCAGAAGTGGAACAGCCAGGACTTGAACTGGCACCCCCATGGGATGTTGGTGCTGCAGACTGTGGCTTTTTTTTTTCCTGATAAATTTTTTGTTTTCTTTTTTTTTTTTTTAACTTTTACTTAATGAATATAAATTTCCAAAGTACAGCTTATGGATTACAATGGCCCCCCCCCCATAACTTCCCTCCCACCCGCAACCCTCCCCTTTCTCTCTCCCTCCCCCCTTCCATTCACATCAAGCTTCATTTTCAATTCTCTTTATATACAGAAGATCAGTTTAGAATATAATAAATAAAAATTTCAACAGTTTGCACCCACATAGAAACACAAAGTGAAAAATACTGTTTGAGTACTAGTTATAGCATTAGATCACAATGTACAGCACATTAAAGACAGAGATCCTACATGAGGAGTAAGTGCACAGGGACTCCTGTTGTTGACTTAACAAATTGATACTTTTGTTTATGGCATCAGTAATCACCCTAGGCTCTTGTCATGAGTTGCCAAGGCTATGGAAGCCTTTTGAGTTCACCGACTCTGATCATATTTAGACAAGGCCATGGTTAAAGTGGAAGTTCTCTCCTCCCTTCAGAGAAAGGTACCTCCTTCTTTGATGACCTGTTCTTTCCACTGGGATCTCACTTGTGGAGATCTTTCATTTACGTTTTTTTTTTTTTTTTTTTTTTTTTTTGCCAGAGTGTTTTGGCTTTCCATTACAGGCTGTGGCTTTAACCCGCTTTGCCACAGCACTGGCCCCAGAAATATGTATTTTAACTAAAAATATCGCAAGATTGAAAATAAGCAAGGTGAGTAGAAGCCCAGTGGATACTATAGAGTCAACTTGTTCTCTTGAGCAGTGGGACAGCTTGGCAAAATGCTAAAATCTCACTCAAAATATACGAATACAGAGCACTAACTGAGACGAAAGGAGATGTGGTGTTCTCTTCTCATATTTAATGTCAGCTAGTTGGGTCTCCCTCCTTTCAGTTCTTTTAGCTGTTAGCGTAGCTGTAGTCTTTCCCACTCGACACCCTCATGCATGGAAGGTGATGGAACAGAAGATTTTAGGGCTTTCGAGGGCAGAACTGCAAATAGCAGTTTTCTGTTTTCTCCCCAGTTGTGCTCTAGTCTTTAGGTGTTTCAGATTCTTAGGGTAAGTAGCATTACTCATATTTTCTAATGCTAACAATTAATTTTGAAGCTAGATGGACATTTTTTAAAATTTAATAATTTTTTCTATTCACAGTGAAATATTTTAAATTTAGATTCTCTAAATTTATTTTTGGTGATGATTTGGACATAGGACATTGACTTGAGTGTGTGTGATATCTCTAGGTGCTTTTGGAATTTAGTTTTTCTGTCTTCTAAGCTATCATGTTTGCTTCCCTCTGGAATTTGCTGAAATTTGAAACAGATGTTGAAGCTTGGAATATAGTTTGTCTTCCTAATATCAGAGACATTTGGATATATACCTGGGCTTGTATTACCCACTGTATTTTAAAACATAGAATTTGATTTATTTTTAAATAGTTAAACTTTTTTTTATTATTGTTTTGGTTAGGAGCTCTTCTCTTTTGCAATAACTATTTGTGTTGTTTAAGTAAATTGTTACTACTTGAGCAAGTGATAACAAACAGCTATTAATAAATTTATCAAATTCAGATCACTAATATATGTCAGCTAAAACCCATTTTTGGAGAAAACAAAAAATAGAGTCATCTTCCTCTTTGGGTAATAATCTGTGTCTAGCAATCCTATAATCTGTATCTAGCAGTACTATAAAACTTCTAAAAGCAATACTAAAATTCTTTATCAGATAATGAAACTATTTTAATGGTAATAAACAAAGTTTTTTATGGTAGTATTAAGAAATTTTATCGTTGAGTAAGCTATTTAATTTTCCTGTGTTTTAGTTCATCCATGTGTAATAGCAATTACCTCACAAAGATATTAAATGACTTGTTGAATATTTTCTGCTTCATGAACCATGATGAAAGATTCTAAATTGTATGTAGTATTGTTTTCTTTCAATTTTTTTGTTGATTCTTCAGAAATTACTTGGAGCTAATGTGGCTTCAGTATTTCTACTAATAGTATATTTATGGTAATAATTGTAAACTGTTTTCTTGTGTAAACATTGTGATATTTATTTTTCAAATTAATGTTTGCACTTGGAAGTAACTCATTTGTGGGATCTATCATACTTTACTCTTATAATGAGTGAAAGTACTGTACAAATTTTCATTGTTAATTGATATGGTTTTTGTGTATTAACTTTTAAGGTTTTTTCTTTCCAGTCTCTTGGACTTTTTGGAGCACAGGGAATTTACTCGAGGTCTGTATTCTGTCCTATATCTATCTTTCCATGGTTCTTTCAGACCTGACATCACTGCTCTTGAGTTCTATTTCTTTTAAGTCTTTTTTATTCTAAAGATTTATTTATTGGGGGCCCAGCACTGTGGCGCAGTGGGTTAACGCCCTGGCCTGAAGCGCCGCCATCCCATATGGGAGCTGGTTCTAGTCCCAGCTGCTCTTCTTCCCATATAGCTCTCTGCTGTGGCCTAGGATAGCAGTGGAGGATGGCCCAAGTCCTTGGGCCCCTGCACCTATGTGAGAGACCCGGAGGAAGCTCCTGGCTCCTGGCTTCAGATTGGCAAAGCTCTGGCCATTGAGGCCAACTGGGGAGTGAACCAGCGGATGGAAGACCTCTCTCTCTCTCTCCCTCCCTCCCTCCCTCTGCCTCTCCTTTCTCTGTGTAGCTCTGACTTTCATATAAATAAATAGCACTGTGGTGTAGTGGGTTAAGGTGCCGCCAGCAACACTAGCAACCCATATGGGAACCCATTCGAGTCCCCGCTGCTTCACTTGTGATCCAGCTCTCCTTTATTGTGCCTGAGAAAGCAGCAGAAGATAATCCAACTCCTTGGGCGCCTGCACCTATGTGGGAGACCTGGAAGAAGCTCCTGGCTCCTAGCTTTGGCCTGGCCCAGCCCTAGCCATTGCAGCCATTTAGGGAGTGAACCTGTAGATGGAAATCTCTTTCCCTCTCTTTGTAATTCTGCCTTTCAAATAAAATAAAATCTTTAAAAATAGATTTACTTATTTATTTTAAAATATTGAGGATCTGGTGCTTTAGTTTTTTTAAAATTAATTTAAAAGATTATTTTTATTGGCTGGCACCGTGGCTCAATTGGCTAATCCTCTGCTGCGGCGCCAGCACCCTGGGTTCTAGTCCCGGTTGGAGCACCGGGTACTAGTCCAGGTTTGCTCCTCTTCTAGTCCTGCTCTCTGCTGTGGCCCGGGAGGGCAGTGGAGGATGGTCCAAATGCCTGGGTCCCTGCACCCATGTGGGAGACCAGGAGGAAGTACCCGGCTCCTGGCTTCGGATCAGCGCAGTACCGGCCATAGCGGCCATTAGGGGAGTGAACCAATGGAAGGAAGACCTTTCTCTCTGTCTCTCTTTCACTGTTTATAACTCTCTCTGTCTCTCTCTCACTGTCTAAATCTGCCTGGCAAAAATAAATAAATAAATAAAAAATTATTTTTATCTCTTCATGTGATCATTTTTATGATATTTCTTGCAGAAAAATTCATGTTGGTCATTTAAAAAAGGTCTGTTGGAAACATTTAAAAAAGTGTTTATTTGGAACAGAGTTATAGAGAGATATGCACAGAGGGAGGGAGGGAGAGAGAGAGAAAGAGAGAGAGAACTTGAACTTCCATCCCCTGGTTCATTTCCCGAATGGCAACAATGGCTAGGGCTGGGTAGGAGCCTGGAACTCCATCTGAGTCTCACACATGGGTGGCAGGGGCCCAAGGACTTTAATTTTAAAGATTTAAAAAAAAAATTACTGGAAAGACAGTGTTACAGACTGGGGGATGGGAAGGAGACACACAGAGAGAGATAGAGATAGGTAGATGTTCCAGCTGGTACCCTTATGGGAGGCTAGCCTTGCAGGTGGCAGATTAACCTTCTATTCTACAGTGCCGGCTCTGCCGTTGGAACATCTTTTGCTTTATTTTCTTTTTTCTTTTTCTTTTTAAGATTTTATTTATTTATTTGAGAGGTAGAGTTACAGACAGTGAGAGGGAGAAACAGAGAAAAAGGTCTTCTGTCCATTGGTTCATTCCCCAAATGGGCGCAATGACGGGAGATGCACAGATCCGAAGCCAGGAGCCAAGCGCTTCTTTTTCTTTCTTTTTTTTTTTTTAAAGATTTATTTCATTTATTTTAAAGACAGAGTTACACAGAGAGGTAGAGACAGAGAGAGAGGTCTTCCATCCGCTGGTTCACTCCCCAGATGGCTGCAATGGCTGGAGCTGAGCCAATTTGAAGCCAGGAGCCAGGAGCTTCTCCCAGGTCTCCCACGTAGGTGCAGGGGCCCAAGAACTTGGGCCATCCTCTGCTGCTTTCTTAGGCACATTAGTAGGGAGCTGGATTGGAAATGGAGCAGTTGGGACTTGAACTGGTGCCCATATGGCATGCCGGCACTGCAGGCCAGGGCTTTAAGTTGTTGCGCCAGAGTGTCAGCGCTGGAACACCTTGCTTTAGTTTCTGTTTAGTGTCTTGGTTTATGTAATCAGATGAGAAAACCCAGGAAATAACACACTTTTTGAGTTCCATATTAATTTTTATTCCTGTTTTGTAAATTCTGACTTAGGTTGTCCTCTTTAGCATTGTGTTCTTAAAGGGCTTTCTTTTTTATATATTAAAAAAACCAGATAGTTTAACTAAGTTGATTGTTTTAACTTCTGCTATAGACTATCTTAAGACTACTTTGAATTTAAAGGTACAAAGAAATGATGCATTCCCTGAAGAATGTTATGATGATAGTGGTGGAGTCTATGATTAACAAGTTTGAAGAAGATGAGATACGAAATCAAGAACGGCAGAGAAGAATCCAAAAGGAGAAAAGTCATAGTTATTGCACAGACAATTGCTCTGATAGTGATTCATCATTCAATCAGGTATGTCATTTTGTTTGCATTTATGGCTAGAAATGGTGTTTAGTTATCAGTATTTTTAATAAATGTTTTATTAGCCAGATTTTTTCTGCTCTCTAATTTTCCAATTCAGAAGAGAATAAAAAATAACCTTGAAATGCCATCTCCTGGGATTATATATTCAGTGGATATTTGAATATATCTAGGATAATTCATTATTATATTTTGGAATTTTTTTTTAAATAAAAAGAGTTGAAGCAAGTCTCCATAAGCTTTAGTTAAAACATCTCATTCCCAGTTAATCCTTATTGAAGTTTAACTAGAGGGTAAATGAGGTAAGAAATTCCTGTGTACATCCTCTGGAGATGAAGGTTTCTATGAATTGTTAGTTTCAAAACACTAAACTTTTCTTTCTTTATTTAAGAGACAGAGAGAGGGAGTCAGACAGAAGGAATGGGAATGGATTTGGATAGAGAGAGAGAGAGAGATAAAGAGAGAGAGAGATCTCCCATCTGCTGGTTCATACCCTAAATGTCCAGGAAGGTTAGAACACTGAAGCTGGGAGCTGAGAATGTATTCCAGTTCTCCTACATTGGTGACATGAACCCCATTACTTGAACCATCACTACTGCTTTCCTGGGTCCCCATTAGCAAGAAGCTGGAAATCAGGAGCTGGAGCTAGGAACTGAACACAGGGACTCTGGATTGGGATGTGTATGTCTCAACTGCGGGACAAAATGCCTATTCTTTAATCTTTTCCTGACGTCAGAAGACTTGAGGTCTTATGTTTTCTCCAACCAAGGGAATAGGAACTCATTTCATTTTGCTACAGCAGGGCTAAGAGAAAGGCTGATGGTTAGACTGGCTTTGATAGAAGACATGGGAAACTTAATAGAAGACATGGGATTTTTTTTTCTTTTTAAAGAAAAAATTTTTTTTTAAAAAAAATGTATTTATTTATTTGAAAGGCAGTGTTACAAAGAGAGAAAAAGAGAGACAGATTTTCCATCTGTTGATTTCACTCCCAAATGGCCACAGCAACCAGGCTGGGCCAAGCTGAAGCCAGGAGCTTTTCCCGGATTTCCCACAAAGGTTCAGGGGCCCAAGCACTTGTTCCATAAACCACTGCTTTCCCAGGTTCATGAGCAGGGAGCTGGATTGGAAGTGGAACAGCGGGCCGGTGCAGTGGTTCACTTGGCTGATCCTCTGCCTGTGGCACCGGAATCCCATATGGGTGCTGGGTTCTAGTCCCGGTTGCTCCTCTTCCAGTCCAGCTCTCTGCTGTGCCCCGGGAAGGCAGTGGAGGATGGCCCAGGTGCTTGGGCGCCTGCACCCATGTGGGAGACCAGGAGGGGGCACCTGGCTCCTCGCTTCAGATCGGCATAGCTCCAACCATAGCGGCCATTTTGGGGGTGAACCAACGGAAGGAAGACCTTTCTCTCTGTCTGTCTCTCTCATTGCCTAACTCTATCTGTCAAATAAAAAATTAAAAAAAAAATAAGAAAAAAAATTAAAAAAAAAAAAAAGGAAGTGGAGCAGCCAGGACTTGAACTGGTACTCACATAGAATATCGGCACTGGAGGCCTTGGCTTTAACCCATTGTGCCACAGCATCAGCCCTTGTAGTGGGCTTTTGGCTTAGTGGTAAAGATGGTGGTTAAGTTGCCATGTCCCAGTATCTGAGAACCTTGGTTTGAGTTCCATCTCCACTTCAGATTCCAGCTTCCTGCTAGTGCAGACCCTGGGAGGTAGCCTGTCACCTTTGTAGGGGCCTAGATTGAGGTCCCAGCTCCTTCCCTTGGCAAGGGTCAGTCCTGGGCATCATGGGCATTTGGGAAGGTACTCCAGCAGATAGGAATTCTATCTGTCTCTTTCCCTCTCGAATAAACAAAACACAAAACACCAAAATAGGGATTTGAGAAGGTTCGTAATAAAACATAAAAAATAAATATGTTTTGGCTCTGCCTGATTGAAGGGAATATGGTTTGGAAAGTATTAAAAGTAGAACTTAAAGGTTGTTGTGCCTACTATTCCGTCATTTAGCAGGCGAGATTGTGCTGAGTCATGACCCTTACAAGTCAGGCTGATTATCTGATGTCATGGAGGATGTGACAAGACATATTTTTCTTTATGTGGTAGCTTGTAATCATTCCTTGTTGCTAGGCTGTTTGTGTAGTTTTATTCTAATTTATGTAGTCAAATGGCTTTTTTCATAGGCTTCCTAACTGCTTCAGATCAAAGACTTTTGGAATAAAAAGGCACAGAAAAACCCAACTTTAGGACTCTGGACTCACAAGTTATATACTCCATTTACTTGATGAGTTACTTAAATAGACAGAAATTGAGACATAGGAGAAAAAGAACTGGAATATTAAATTTGTTTTAAGAAGTACAAATATTCGAATCTAACTAGAATTGACTAAGTAGCTGGAAGTTAAGAGTTTGCAGATTCTAAGACACAATTATTTCTCATCATTAGAATCATAGATTTTTGAAGAAGTGCAAAGTGGTTGAGTTGGCACTGCATGAAAAAATAATTTTGGAAGTATTTGGAGCATTCAAATTATGAAGTCATAGTTTCAGAATATATTCATGTTTTTTATTTTGTTTTGTTGTTGAGAATGAATTATGCTTTAATTTCTATTGCTTTCCTTGGGATCTCCATAGAGTATAGCTGAATTTTCAAGTGTCTGTCTTATGAATATAATTTTATTTTTGAAGGGACTAACTGAGTTGTAAGTGAACTGGGATCCTTGGGCTTTAGGAAAGAAGTGCATGAGTGCCAGAACTAGCCTGAGACATCTTGAATGTGGCACAGTGTGGGAGATATTTGGATATACCTTGCTTGATTGAAACAGACTGTCTTTCATGAAGCTGACCATAGAGAGACGTATTAATATATGCAGAGTTGGAAAAAGTCTCTGAAAATGTATCAGAAATTCATTCTGTTAAATACTGACATTCTTATTGATGCCTTCAAAATTAAGTTACTTGCTGTGGGATTAAAGAAAAATCTGTCTGAATTTTTATGTGGATAACATTGTATAAGCAATTTTGATGCTGTCATTTTGATACTAGTAAAATACTTGCTTTTTGTGAATAAAATAGGCTTTATTTCATTGCAACCTAATTATACTCATGTATGGATTTTTGACCCATTATTGAAAAACTGGAGACTTATCAGTATAAGTTTTAGAATATTGAAGACTAAAGGAGAGATAGTGGCCTTTACATGGTTATGACAGAGCAATGAAGGGATTTGGTATTGTGAATAATCCTGGAAAATGTTTCTGTAAAATAATGCTAGAAAGATAAATATAATAATACTAGTCATTTATTACTGAGACTTCTGTCAGCCACTGTCTGCTGTGCCTGACTTTGTATTAACTATGGGTGTTACTGGCACATTCTAAAGAAAAAGTGAGACTTATAAGCTCAAACTTGAATTGCTAATTAGAGGTAGACCTTGAATTTGACCTGACTTCTTACCCTCCAAAATCTGTTCTTCTTGTTCTTTGCTGTACTACCTGGAAACTGGGTTTAAGTTCTGGTTCCACCACCAATTAGCTTTGTGAACTTGGGCAAATGTCTTAACTTTGTGTTGCAGTGTTTCTTATTTGCAAAATGGTGGTAAAAATACCACTTACCTCATGGGATTGTTGAAAAGATTGAGTTAATGTCAATATTGGTTATTAAGCTATAACATGCATAGAAGGTAGCTTGGCACATGGTCTCTGTATTTGGACATGTTAGCTTTCATTGTTGTTGATTCCTTTGACAATATGTGCTGAAATGGATGCCGTGTAGAGACACATTGAAATAGAAAATTTCTCAGCTGTGGTCTTCTGTGGTTCCTAACCAAGCTTCTGGTTTTCTACTGTTGAGTATTTAGAGGACTATCTCCTATATACATTAAGTTTTCCAAATTTATATCATTTCTTCTTGCAGTTTTTATGTCTTCATCTCCCCCTGTAGTATTTGGTATAGTACAGTATACTGTGAATGCTATTTTATTATATTCCAAGGGAACCCCACATCAGGATTATATTGAGAAGGTGAATTTATGACAACAGAAATTTATTCTTATATGACATGAACCTGATTATGGCATTTACTATTTCTTTGCTTTCTAAGCAAACTTGATCAAAACCCATCATTTGTTGCCTGTTGTGGGCACAATCATGGACCCATCAAAGATGTCCATGTTCTAATCTTCAGACCTGTGAGCACGATATGTTACCTTATGGCAAAAGGGACTTTGCTGTTGCAATTAGTTTAAGGATCTTAAAATGGGGAGATTATTTGGTACTAGCCAGGTGAGCCCAGTGTAATCATATGGACCTGTTTAAGACACAGGAGGGTCAAAGAAGCTGCTGTTCAGGCTGACATATACCTACAAGGAGACCCCTGTAAGAGCTGCAAAGAGGCAGGCTTAGAGGGAGGAAAATTGGAGACCCTGCAAAGGGGCAGTAGTAACCTCATACCCTAATCAAAAGCCAGTAGTGTCTAATTGTGGGACTGTCAGTTAAAGAGCCTCAGGGATGAGGAGTCTGGGCAGGAGGTGTCTCAAGAAGTCTATGGATTAATCCATATATATTCAAAAGCATTGGAGGTTATTGGGCCTGGATTCTTGCCTAGCAACTCTTGGGCAAAATTACAACAACAGGGGGCAAGGGTTGCCTGGTTGCCTGATAAAACTCTCCTCCATCAGGAATTAAAAGCCTCAGTAATAGTCAAGCATGATAACAGAAGGACCCTCAAAATAGAGGCAAGAGGCCGTTTAGAAGACAATTACAAGACAGGGAGTCAGAGTAAAGAGGCTGGAGCTTTTCTCTGTTCACTTTGGGAGTGTGGAAAGTATCTTCCAAAGGTTCCTGTGAGACACTTGAAAGGGAAAACCCCAAGAGGGATACTCAAGAGGAGCCCAGAAATTGTTCACACTGAGGAGTAGCCTCCACCAGGTTACCTCCAGTCACATGCATCTACAGTATCATTCCAGAAAGGAAAATGGAGCTGAAAAGACCAAATAGGAGCAATAGGTTGTTGATAGTCTGTTACTCACCACTTGGAGAAGAAATCTCAGTGGGACCTCCAGTTATATTGCTGGAAAATTGGGGAGATGAATCTGAGTATGTGTCCTGGTGTCAGTGACTGGACACATCAGTGAGAGTATAAGTGAAGTTTTATTTAGTAAGAAAAAGATAAGCTCTCAACAGTATGACCGGAGAGGCTGGTAGAAAGAGAGACCAAGCCCACAAAAAATTTTTAAATTCATGCATGTAGGGGAGCTTCAAGGAGTTCATGGAAAATCACAGTGTAAAAAAGTATGCCTGAATTTTAAAATGTTTTTACACAAAATAAACATGTTTTCCATCCATTTGCTGTGAATGTGTTGAGGTGTGTGTGTTCAAGTCTGTTAAGTTATGTGTCATATATTTTTCTGTTAAGTAAGACAACTGCTCCCATATATACTTACAATTACTTTGATCATAGTTATCATTCATAAATATTGGTTATTAAGCTATAACATGAAAATTGAAAATTAGAGTTTTATTTTATAAAGTACTTTTTTTTTTTTTGTCAGGCAGAGTGGACAGTGAGAGAGAGAGAGAGAAAGGTCTTCCTTTGCCGTTGGTTCACCCTCCAATGGCCGCCGCGGCTGGTGCGCTGCGGCCGGCGCACTGCGCTGATCCGATGGCAGGAGCCAGGTACTTATCCTGGTCTCCCATGGGGTGCAGGGCCAAGGACTTGAGCCATCCTCCACTGCACTCCCTGGCCACAGCAGAGAGCTGGCCTGGAAGAGGGGCAACCGGGACAGAACCCGGCGCCCCGACCAGGACTAGAACCCGGTGTCCCAACGCCACAAGGCGGAGGATTAGCCTAGTGAGCCGTGGCACCGGCCTATAAAGTACTTCTAATTTAAGAAAAAGCATGTGTAGCTTAACATTATATATTACATTATATATTTTATTTTAAAATTATTTTTATTTATGTGAAAGGCAGAGAGAGAGAGAGAGAGAGAGAGAGAGATCTTTTATTTGTTGGTTCGCTCCTCAAATACCTGCAATAGCCAGGCCTGGGCTAGGCCAAAGTTAGGGTTCTTGAATTCAATCTTGTCTCCCATGTGGTGTGGGTGGCAGGCACCAAGTACCTGCAGTACCAAGTACCAAGAACCTGTTCCTCCCAGGGTGTGCACTAGCAGGATCTTGAAATTGAAACTATAGTCAGGACTCAAACCCAGGCACTCCAGTATGGAATGCAGGCAACCTAAGTACTGTGCCAAATACCTGTACCTAGTGTATATTTTGAGAGATGAGTAAAAATCAAGACATTTTAAAAGGATTTTTAAGAAATTTTAAATTGGATGATACTCAATATCAAGATGGTTTGTATTCATTTGATGTGGAGTATTTCTGTCTGCTCTCTACTTGTTCTTAGAGCGAAACAATGAAACATGATAAGAAGACCTGCTTTGGAGTCATTATTATACTAAACAAATATATATTTAATGTCTAACCTGTCAGGCCTATTTTGAGGGCTTGGGATTTTGTAACGAGAAATACCAACTTCTGATAAAACACTTGTGAATACCTCCTTTTACCCCTTTTAGATAGTCAGTAATGAAGATTGTGAAGAAAATAGGAAGGTGGAATAGGGGGAGATGAGAGGTGCAGAGAGACTGCTTTAGGTGATCAGGGGGATATTTCTTTGAGGAGATTTTTTTAGCTGAGCTATTAGTGAAAAGAGGGTAGCCATGCAAAGCTTTGGAGGCTGGACTAAAGACAAGTGCAAAGATTCTTTGACTAGGGTGAACTTGGCATCTTCCAGGCATGGAAAGAAGGTCATGTGACTGGACCACGGCAGGTGATGTGAAAAGTAATGTATGAGGGACTGTTAGATTCAAACTGAGTAAAGTGTGTGCCATTTTTACGTGTTTATGTTTCTGTCTTTCCATTTCCTTTATCTCCCATTTCTGGCTATATAACATTTGTGTATATGTTGTCTTACAATGTTCTACACATTGCAGTTGCTCAGCAGATAATCATAGTTTTCATATACAAATGAAGCTACACTGTTTTCTTGGGATATTCAGTTTCCGTTTAAAAGCCTTGGGAAACAAAAATGATAAGTGTGCTGTCAAATCAAAAGTGATCATCCCCTTCTTCTGTTAAGAATGCATTTTGTGATTGGAATTGTATTTTAAAAATCATTTATATTCTTTTTTTTTTAAATTTATTTATTTACTTGAAGTCAGAGTTACAGAAAAAGAGGGAGAGGCAGAGAGAGCTTGCATCCACCGGTTAACTCCTCAGAAGGCTGCAACAGATGGGGCTGGTTCAGGCTGAAGTTAGGAGCCAGGAATTTTTTGAGGGTGGCAAGAGCCCAGGTACTTGAGCCATCTTCCGTTGCTTTTCCCAGGCCATGAACAGGGAGCTGGATTGGAAGTGGAGCAGCCGGGACACTTTCTGACACCTGTGTGGCATTCCAGCAGGTGGTGACTTTACCCCCTATGCCACACACAGGCCCTGATTTATACTAATACTTCAAAAATTTTACTTAATAAGTAGAATGTTCTGTCTTTTGTGTTACAGAGTTACAAATTTTGTCCAGGAAAATTGCAACTGATTTTAGACCAGTTGGATCCTGGGCAACCTAAAGAGGTAAGTTTAAAGGAATCTGTCAAGTTCTGTTAGATGCCATATATTTATAATGTGCTAGGTTACAGTGAGTAGCAACTGGGTTGTTTCTCTTAAGGCTACGCTTTTATTATTTATTACGATCCTAAACTGATATCCCCAGTAAATGTTCCAGTCTTGGAATGAAAGGTCATAGGCTAGGAAAGGCTTACCTTAGAGAACTGTCATGCTTTATAAGAGGGAGATTTTATTTCTAGCTTCAGATTTGAAAGAATGAAGTTATGAGCAGTTGTACCAAAAGTGTATCTTCACCATTGCTCTCTCTGCAATGATTTGTTAGGGATTTTTTTTTGTATTTAATGCTTTTTCTGTGAACAACTATTTAAAAATGTTAACAACTACTAAAAGAATTTTCAATAGGCAAAATTATATATATATATTTATCATGGACAACATGTTTTGAAATATGTATACTCTGAGGAATGTCTTGATAGTGAGCCAGTTAACATATATAATACCTAATATACTTCTTTTTTGTGGTGAGAACATTTTAAAATTTATTTTCAGTAATTTTCAAAAATGAAGAATGTTGTTATTAACTATAGTCACCATGTTGTATAATAGCTCTCTTGAATATATTCTTCCTTTTTAGCTGCAGTTTTGTGTTTGACCAACATCTCTTGAACTTTGGTATATTTGAGCAACTTTGGCACATTTGTAATTTATAAGAAAAAAGATACAGAATCAATTATATTGAATTGTGTCTGTTTATACTTTAAAAGATTGTACAAATTAGTTTATGAAGTAGAATTTCATTTGAAAGTCAGTCTGAAATAGAAAATATGATAGCATTTTTTAAACCCAAGACTTTTGTGTATATTCTGCCATTTGACCTCAAGTTTTTAAAAAGTATTTATTTGAAAGACAAGGCTATAGAGAGAGGAGAGACAGAGAAAGAGAGAGAGGAGAAAGAAGAGAGAAAGATCTTCCATCTGTTAGTTCACTTCCCAAATGGCTGCAGTGGCCAGGTCTGGTCCAGACCAAAGCCAGGAGCCAGTAGCTTTATCTGGGTCTGCTATGTGGGTACAGGGACTCAAGCTCTTGGGCCATCTTCAGCTGCTTTCCCAGGCACATTAGCAGGGAAGTAGGGAAGCTGGGATTCCAACCAGCATCCATGTGGCTTAAACTGTTTGCAACAATGCTGGACCCTGATCTTGATTTTTGAAATTTTTGAAAAAACTTTTTACTTTAAACTAAATGAATAGTGTGATTTATTTTTATTGAAATTTCCCCCCCCAAAAAAAATCAGAGAAAAAATTTTCCTGTTAACATCTTATAGTCTTTTATTTTCTAGAATCTCAATAAACAATAACATTTTTCAAAAGATACTTGAAATGAGGTTTGACTTTTATATAATTCAGCTTAAATAGGTTATTTGCAAATCTGTACTGTCCAAAAGAAGACTTTATTCTGTTCCTGCAAGCACTATATTCTTTATGGGATCTTGTCCTAAAAACTAATTGAACCTTTGGGGCCGATACCGTGCCTCACTTAGTTAATCCTCTGCCTGTAGCACCGGCATCCCATATGGGCGCCGGATTTTCTCCCGGTTGCTCCTCTTCCAGTCTAGCTCTCTGCTGTGGCCTGGGAGGGCAGTGGAGGATGGCCGAAGTGCTTGGGTCCCTGTTCTTGCATGGGAGACCAGGAAAAAGCTCCTGGCTCTTGGCTTTGGATCGGCGCAGTGCTGGCTGTGGCGGCCATTTGGGGAGTGAACCAATGAAAGGAAGACCTTTCTCTCTTTCTCTCTCTCTCACTGTCTAACTCTGTCTTTCAAATAATAATAATAATAAAAAAACAACTAATTGAACCAGAGAAATTACTTAACACTGTAAATGAATTCTGATTTTTTTATCTTTAATTTTTGATATTTAAAACTTTCACCATGTTCTCCCTATGCCTACCACAAAGTTTTGTTTTAGGATTCTCTCTTATGAATATATATTTTCAAATATAAGTATTTTCCTTTTCATCTAAAAATACTCAGTGTCAGGTTTGCTGAGGTCTTGGCTCCTGTCTGTAATGCTTCATCTTTTTAATCACTAAGCTTTGGTTGTTTCAGTTGGGAAATGACCAGGATTTGAGGATCAGGTTGGAATTAATGTGTCATTATTGACCAGTTGGAGAGTGAATTGGAGAAAAGCTTTGTTCCATGCATCATGGAGGGGTCCTATTCTCCACTACTGTCTTTCTGGTCATATGGTTTTGTGTTATTTCTGATTGGATTTTGAGAAGACTGAATTAAGAAGTGAGCTGCTTTTTTTCAAGTATAGAAATTAAATTTTGCATTTCAGATTTGAACAACTTTTTTTTTAAAGGTTTATTTTCTTTATTTGAAAGACAGAGTTACAGAGAGAGGTAGAAACAGAGAGAGAGGTCTTCCATCTGATAGTTCACTCCCCAAATGGCTTCAATGGCTGGAGCTGTGCTGATCTGAAGCCAGGAACCAGGAGCTTCTTCCAGGTCTACCACATGGATGTAGGAGTCCAAGGAGTTAGACCATCTTCTACTGCTATCCCAGGCCATAGCAGAGAGCTGGATTGGAAGAGGAGCAGTGGGGACTAGAACCAGTGCCCATAAGGGATACTGGCGCTTCAGGCCACGGCTTTAACCCACTGCACCACAGTGCTGGCCCCAGCTTTTTTTTTTTTTTTTTTTTTATCTCATTAGTTACAAGGTCAGAAAATAAGGTATAATAAAAAAAAAAAAGTTACGACTTTTATTTTGTGTGTGAGAGAATTGTTAATATATTCTGGAATGAGAAAGCTTCACCAGGGAAAAATCTAGGCAACATTTAAAATTAAGCCTCTCAAACTTCAGGACCACATATGAGTGCCTACTAGAATGGGGAAAGTCTGGAAGGAGGCCACTGTTAACACATTGCCTTGGTGATTTTGATTCAACCACTACACCCTCTGTTCTGCTTAGACATGAGACCTAGAATTTCCTTGTATATTAGTATTTTAATTTTCACCTTACACAAAATAGCAACTTATTTTTTCTGTGTAAACATTTAGTATCACAAGAATTCTCCAGAGCTATTTTATAAAAGAGCAACATATTCTTATAAATAACTCTTTAAAATAATTATCCAGAATCTACCTTTTGGTAGTTTCTTAGATATTGTTTTTGGAGAATTGATATTATTCTAGTGACTGAATATTAATACAAATCTTATTTTACAGGTGAGATATGAAGCCTTACAAACCTTATGTTCAGCTCCTCCATCTGATGTCCTGAATTGTGAAAATTGGACTTCTCTCTGTGATAAACTAAAAGTGGCTCTATCAGATCCTGATCCAGTGTTTAGTGTAAGACAATGTTTACAGAAATTGTTCAAAATAATTTCTATTTCCCATTATCCTAGAAGTAAATGGAATATGATAGTTTTCTTTAATAGTAGCTCAAATATTTGTAGAACTTCAGTTTTAGCTTTTCAGTTGTCCAAATTTTCTTCAAAGGAATTAGCTATTTCATGATTAGATTTAAAGTTTAATTAATATATCATTAACTGCCCAAAAATAACTGAGTTGTACATTTTGTTTTATCTTATGAAGGGATATCCAAGTGTTTGTGTCATTTTTTTCTCAATTTTAAGAGATATATTTATGTTTTTTATGTAATAAAATGTAATGTGTGATGTTTTATTGCATATATAAATTGTATAATATCCAATTAGGGTAAATACCCTTTCAAATATTTAACTTTAATATCTCTATTAATCTAAAATCCTATCTTCTAAGTTTTTTAAATGGAGAAATCTATAATAACTAACATTGTGTATAGTTACCATCCTGTGCAGAACTCAGTAACTTCTCACTCATTTCTAGCTTTAGCCTAGTACTCATCAATCAAGCTTTCTCCTCTTGTCCCTACACATTTCCCACCATAGCCTCTGATTATTATATTTTTATATTCTATAAATTTACCTATTGTTTTAGAATGTACACATGAGTGAGATCACGTGATACTTGTCTTTCTGTTCTTGGCTTATCTTAGTTAACTGGGTCATTGCTTTTGAATTCAGAAAAGTATTTTTTTAAAGATTTATTTATTTGTTTTGAAAGTCAGAGTTGGAGGGAGGGGGAAAGAGAGAGAGAGAAAGAGAGGAAAGAGAGAGAAACTTTCCATCCACTGGTTCATTCCCCAGATGGCTGCAACGGTCAACTCTGTACTAGGCTGAAGCTAGGAGCCAGGAGCTTCAGTCAGGTCTCCCAGGTGGGTGGCAGGGACCCAAACAAGTGGGCTATCTTCTGGTGCTTTTCCCATGCCATTAACAGCAAGTTTGATTGGAAATGGAGCAGCCAGGAAATGAATGAGTGTCCATATGGGATGCCAGCTGCACAACCATTGGCTTAACCCGCTATACTACTGTACCAGCCCAAAAAATATTGTTTTAAAAAATTAATATTTGGAAATAAAAATGAAGAATTAGTATTTATTCTAAAGGTTTATAATAACTTTCCTCCTGCAGTTAAGTGTTTACAGAGTGCCTAAAATAGAAACTGCTTAAAAATAGAAATTAGAAAATGATAAAGCTAATATATATAAACTAAGAGGTTAAAACATAATTTAAAAGAAATCATAAAGGTAATAGAAAATTTCTAAAAATGCATCTAGGGAGTAAACAGCAAATGGAAGACCTATCTCTCTCTCTCTCTGTCTCTCTGTGCCTCTGCTCCTCTGTAACTCTGCCTTTCAAATAAATAAATAAATATTTTTTAAAAAATTATGAAGTCAATAGAGATGATTTGAGTGAAAATTGACTTGCATCTGATTTTCAGTAATGGTTAGGAGTGGGTTTATGTTAAAAAGTAAAGTAATTCGACAGATAGTGTTAATGATGTGAAATTTTATCTCAAAATTTTTTAGAGGTTAATTACTCTTTTATTATTGAATTATAAGGTAAAGTCTACATTTACAATTTATTTTTTTAAGATTTATTTGAAAGGCAGATACAGAGAAAGAAGGGGGAGAGAGATGTCTTCTATCCTCTGGTTTACTCCCCAAATGGCTGCAACTGCCAAGGTTAGGCCAGGCCAAAGCCTGGAGATGGGAGATTCTTCCAGGTCTCTCACATGGGTTTTAGGGGCCCAAGGACTTGGATGTTTTTATGCTACTTTCTCAGGTACATTCACAGGGAGCTGGATTGGAGGTGGAGCAACCAGTACTTGAACCAATCCCCATATGGGATGCCAACACTGCAGGTGGAGGCTTAACTTTCTACACCACAGCACCTGCCTACATCTACAATTTGATCAGGAAGAAATGCTTTGCATTTACATCAAGGACATATTTGCTGTAGTGACTTCCACCACCTACACAAAAAAGACCATCTACATGTTTTTAAAAAAGATTACATGTTTTAACTGGTCCTACTTTTGCTATTTTAGACTGTACTTTTCCTTACATACATGTTAAGTCTGATGTATCTCTCCACATTTTTTAATATCAAATGGAGCTTTTCACAATTTCTAAGTATAAACAAAATGCTGAAAACAATATTGAAGCAAAGTTTTAAAACAAAGAAACAATTGACTGCTATTATATTACATTAGAGAAACGGAGTTAAACTTGGCCCCTCTGTGGCTCAATGACATAAAATTTCAGAATGCCTGATTGTATTCAAGTATCACATTATACATATAAATTCATTTTTTCTCTTCTTAATTGATATATCAGTGAAGGAAACTTCAGTCTTAAAATGTATACAGTGTTGGGGCTGGCATTGTGGATTAGCAGGTTGAGCCTCTACCTGTGATGCTGGCATCCCAAATGGGTGTCAGTTTGAGTCCCAGCTGCTCCACTTCTGATCCAGCTCCTTATTGATATGCCTCTGAAAGCAGCAGATCATCCAGGTGCTTGTGCCCCTGTATGTAAATGAGAGACCCAGAAGAAGCTCTGGACCCTTGGCTTCTACCTGGGCTACCCTTGCCCGTTGTGGCCATTTTGGGAGTGAACCAGTAGATAGGAGGTTTCTGTTTGTCTCTCTTTCTGTCTTTGTCTCTGTCTCTCTCTCTGCCTCTCTATCATTCTACCTTTCAAATAAATAAAAAATAAATCTTTAAAAAATGTATATAGTATACAGTATTTTGTACAGAACTTAAAGTTATAGCACAAGAGTTAACATTCTTCTATTTATTCAACAATATTTATTGAATACTTACAACGTACATCATTCAAATTTAGATGCTGGGAACATACTGTGAGTAAGTTAGATGTGTTTGCCCTCATATAACTGACATTCTAGTAGAATATATAGATAATAGTTATAAAAATGTATCTTGGAGGAGATTGGATTAAGATGGTGTAGTAACGAGGGAGCTTGCTGCTCTGGTCTAAGAGAAGATAGTTTAAAAAAGTGGAAAGAGTGCAATCTCGAAGAGTTAGGGAGAAAACAGCAGAGGAAATATGCTATGTAAATTGGAGGGACACAGTAAACCTACGTGGAGGGTGTGGACACACACAACTCAGGACCCCAGCAGCCAGGAGCCTCTGCACCAGTGTAGGAGAGAGAGGTGAGGTCAGACTGTAGCAGCCCAAGGCATTGGTGAGAAAAGCTACAGGCAGAGCATAGAGGGAACCCAGCTTTGAGCACAAGGGATAGTGTAGCTGCCAGACTAGAGGAGAAAAAATGAAAGAGGGGGCATGTTCCTCTCTCCCTGATCACCCTACAATAGCATCCTGTAACAAGCTGATAGCAGGCACCATTTTGACATACGTAACAGCTGCACTAGCCTATGTCTGCACCCAGCAACCAGAAGTTGAGACTCCTGAGTCTAGTGGGCAGAATAGACAGAGGACTTGTGACTGTGGGAGGCTTGTGTGCCGGGACTGTGAAAAAACTGAGGCTGTGTGGGAGGAATCAGGGACTTTGGGCAGTCACTGTGGGAGGCTCCACATGCTCAGTGCTACCTGGTTACCTGGTGAAGGACATTGCTAGGGAATCTGAGCTTACACTGAGGACTGCACAGAACCTTTGTGTGGTCCTTGTGCAGAGCAGATGAATAATACACCCACTAGGGCTAGTGCCCAGGCAATAATCTCCTTTGAGTAGAGAGGCTTATCTGAGTCTACGCAAACAGAGAAGAACAAATCTCCCCTCTGATAAGAAAAAAAAAAAAAAAAAGAGAGATTTACCACACCAAACCTGGCTGTGTTACCTCAGACATGCCCTTCACCCTGGAGAACTGATCAGAGCTCACTAGCCCCACCCACCACATGCATCTAGGTATTCACTGAAAGCAGACACTCTGCTAATCTACAGAGGAATAGTACAAAGATAAAAGCTGCCACAGTGAAAAACAAAGAAACCAACAAGAATCTCCACAAATGCCAAATAACAAATGCAGTAATTCAAGAAGCAAAAAATAAGGAAGATAGCATGACACCCCTAAAAGAACATAACACTTCAATACTAGATTGTGAAGATGGTGAGATTGAAGAAATGCCAACAGAGAAAAAGAACTACAGAACAATTTCCCTGATGAACATAGATGCAAAAATTCTCAACAAAATTCAACAATACATCAGAAAGATAAGTGGGATTTATCCCTGGTATGCAGGCATGGTTCAGCATTCGCAGATCAATCAATGTGATACACCATGTTAACAAACTGAAAAACAAAAACCGTATGATTATATCAATGGATGCAGAGAAAGCATTTGATAAAATACAACACCCTTTCATGATGAAAACTCTAAGCAAATTGGGTATAAAAGGAACATTGCTAAACACAATCAAGGCAATTTATGGCAAACTCATGGCCAGCATACTATTGAATGGGGAAAAGTTGGAAGCATTCCCACTGAGATCTGGAAACAGACAAGGATGCCCACTCTGACTATTGCTGTTTAATATGGTCTTGGAAGTTTTAGCCAGAGCCATTAGGCAAGTAAAACAAATCAAAGGGATACAAGTAGGGAAAGAAGAAGTCAAACTTTCCCTATTAGCAGATGACATGATTTCTATATATAGGGGAACCAAAAGATTTCACCAAGAGACTATTGGAATTCATAGAAGAGTTTAGTAAAGTAGCAAGATATAAAATGAATACAGAAAAATCTACAGCCTTTGCATACACAAACAATGGAATGACTGAGAAAGAACTTCTAAGATCAATCCATTCACAATAGCTACAAAAAAAAAAAATCAAATACCTTGCAATAAATTTAACCTAGGATGTCAAAGATCTCTATGCCGAGAATCACAAAACATTAAAGAAAGAAATAGAAGAAGATACAAAAAAAGGAAAAATTTTCCATGTACATGGATTCAAATAATCAATATCATCAAAATGTCCATTCTTCCAAAAGCGTTTTGTAGATTCAATGTGATGTCAATCAAAATACCAAAGACATTCTTCTCAGATGTAGAAAAAAATGATGCTGAAATCCACATGGAAACACAGGAGACCTTGAAGAGCTAAAGCAATCTTATACAACAAAAACAAAGCTGAAGGCATCATAATACCAGATTTCAAGACATACTACAGGGCAGTGATAAGCAAAACATCCTGGTACTGGTACAAAAACAGATGAAAATACCAATGAAACAGAATAGAAATGCCACAAATCAATTTAAGCATCTACCACCAACTTATTTTTGACCATGGAGCTAAAACCAATCCCTGGAGCAAGCACAGTCTCTTCAACAAATGGTGTTAGGAAAACTGGATTTCCATATGCTGAAGTATTAAGCAGGACCCCTGCTTTACATGTTACACAAAAATACATTCACAATGGATTAAAGACCTCAAGCTATGACCTGATACCATCAAATTATTAGAGGACATTGGGGAAACCCTGCAAGACATTGACACAGGCTTCTTGGAAAGGACCCAGAGGAACAGCAATCAAAGCCAAAGTTGACAAATGGGATTACATCAAATTGCAAAGCTTTTGTACTTCAAAAGAAGCACTCAAGAAAGTGAAGAGGCAGCTGACAGAATGGGAGAAATTATTTGCAAAGTATTCAATTGATAAAAGATCAATAACCAGAATATATAAAGTGATTAAGAAACTCTACAACAAGAAAATAAACCACACAATTACAACCTAAGCAAAGTACTTAAACAGACATTTTTCAAAAGAGGAAATCCAAATGGCCAAAAGGCACATGCAGAAATGTTCAGGATCACTAGCTGTCATTGAAATTCAAATCAAAACCACAATAAAGCTTCAGTTCACCCCAGTTAGAGTGGCTTTCATACAGAAATCAGCAAACAATAAATGCTGGTGAGGATGTAGGGAAAATGGTACTCTAATCCACTTTTTGTGGGAATGTAAACTGGTAAAAACAGTATGGAAGACAGTGTGGTGGTACCTCAGAAATCTGACTATAGACCTACCATATGACCCAGCCATTCCAGTCCTGGAAAGTTACCCAAGGGAAATGAAATTAGTATATGTAAGAATTATCTGTATCCCTATGTTTATTGCAGCTCAATTCACAATAATTAAGACATGGAATCAACCTAAATGCCTGTCAACTTAAGACTGGATAAAGAAATTATGGGATACATACACTATGGAATACTGCACAGTGGTTAAAAAAATGAATTCTGGTCATTTGCAACAAAATGGGTGAATCTGGGAAACATTATACTTAATGAAATAAGCCCATCCCAAAGGGACAAATAGCATATGTTCTCCCTGATCTGTGAGAACCAACAGAGAACCTGAAAGAAAATGTGTAGAAGTGAAATTGACACTTTGAGAACAATGACTTGATCAGCCCTTGTCTTGACTGATGAGGAACAGGTTTTTTTTTCTTCTTCATACTATTTGTTGAACTCCTTACTTAACACAGAGTTAATCATATGTCTATAAAGTCAATTGAAAATAGAAATCAGCAAAAGATAAGAGTAGGATTAAGAGAGGCAGGAGGAAGTTTGTAACTGTAAAGCTTTATAGTCTACATACATTCCTATGTACTTACTTTAAGCATTCAGTTTAAAAACTTGTCAGGGAACCCTAAATCCCATTAATCTGGGTGGTAAACATCCATCTTAAGTGTTAAAGTGATCATATAGATAGGATTAAATGTTAAAATGATCATATAAATAGGATCAAGTATCTGATAATAATAATATAATTAAAAAGGAGAGAATGTTCCAATATGGGAAGCAGCCCAAACAGCAGACTCATAGAATGACATTCGCTTTTAATAGCACTCTGACTTCAGAACCAGCCCTTAAGGCATTCTGGTCTGGATGAAAAGCCCATGAGAACATTTCAGGCACGGAAAGCCAATACACTGTTGCAAAAAAAGATGTCCTACATGAAGGATCTCTGTGAGTTAGACCCCAATGGAAAGAAGTGGCCATCAATGAAGGATGTACTTTTTCTGAAGGGAGGAGAGAACTTTGGGTTTGCTTATGGCCTTGTCTAAATACTGACGGACATTGTAGATTAAAAAGGTTTCTATAGCCTAGGCAGCTCATGTCAAGGGCCTCGTGTGATCATTGACATACATCAGAGTGTCAATTGTTAAATTAACAAGAGTCACTGTGCACTTACTTCCCATGCAGGACCTCTGTCCTCAATGAGTTGTACTATGAGATATTAACTGTGAAACTTGTTTTCAAACAGTTTGTGTATGTGTGTGTGTGTGTGTGTGCAAATTGTTGAAAACTGTACTTAGTATAGAGTTGGTCTTCTATGTATAAGGTTAACTGAAAATTAATCTTAATGGAGAATGGGACTGGGAATGGGAGAAAAAGGAGGAGATGTGGTGGGAGGAGGGTAGGATGGCAGGTATTCTGGGAGCAATAACAATATTCCTAAAGTTGTACTTACGAAATTTGTACTCCTTCAATAAGTGATTTCTTTGGGAAAAATATATCTTAATACATCTATCAATTTAAATTGCATTCTGCTGTCAATGGAGAGATAATGATATTGATAACAGAAATCATTCAGGAACCACAATTTGTTTTACTAGAATAAAACCACAATTTTTTATAGTGATAAAAGTATGTACCCAATGCTTGGATGTAGTTCAACCTTATAAACACCAGAGGGTATTGTAGACTTCTGTAAATACTTAGTGATCTTTAAAAAAAAAAAAAAAAACACAACCAAACAACCAAACAAAAACTTAGTGATCCAAGAACTTCTAGGGGAAAAAAAGTATTTTCCTGTCATTTTTAAATTTCTAGACTCTTTAACAAAAGTGCAATTGTAAACTTCCTTGTATTTTTTCCTTTCTACATCAAAGACAGAATAGGGCTAAGGTTGCTTTATTTGAGAAATTATCACTTTATAAACATAGAGAAGTTCCTAATGGGTTAGTATATATTACTTTACTTAGCCATTAAGAATATAAAAAAAAGAATATTATCTAGCAACAATATGTTTCATTTCTTAATAAAATAGAAAGCTATTGTTATAGAGGAGAAATTGTGACAGTAATTTTAGAATAGGAAACAAGGGATGGTATTATTTTCACTTTAAAATTTGCTTGATCCAGATTCTGTTTGAGTTTCTGCATTTCTGACTTTGAAGGACACTTACATGTAATTGAGTGATGCCTACAATGATTGAAAAGTGTGATAGACAGCAAACTCATAGAATGGCAAAAGCCCTAAACAGCACTCTGGCCTCAGAATCAGCCCTTAAGGCATTCGGATCTGGCTAAAAAGCCCATGAGACTATTTCAGGCATGGAAAGCGAAGACACTGTGGCAAAAAAAACCAAAAAAACAAAAACAAAAAAACAAAAAAAACAAAACCAAAAAAAACCCCAAACAAACAAAAAAGCAAAAAAAACCTAAGTGAAAGATCTCTGTGAGTGAGATCCCAGCGGAAAGTATGGGCCATCAAAGAAGGCATTACCTTTCTCTGAAGGAAGGAGAGAACTTCCACTTCCTTGTCTAAATAAGATCAGAGTTTGTGAACTCAAGAGGCTTCCATAGCCTTGACAGTTTGTGACAAGAGCCTAGGGTGATTACTGACGTCATAAATAAGAGTGTCAATTGTTAAATTAACAACGGGAGTCTGTCCTTAATGTGTTGTACTATGAGAATTAATGGTAAAACTACTACTCAAACAGTACAATATACTTTTTGTATCTTTGTGGGTGTAGTCTGTTGAAATCTTTAATTAGTATATACTAAGTTGATCTTCTGTATATAATGATAATTGAGAATGAATCATGATGAAGAATGGGATGGGAGAGGGAGTGGGAGATGGGATGGTTGCGGGTGGGAGGGAGGTTTTTGTTTATTTACACCTTTACATTATTCTCTGTCATGCCTCACCTTCCTTCATGTCTTCCAAAGTCAGTATGTACTCTTAATAGATTTTGCAGTGATATATTTCTATGATTAGATTTGCTGTTTTTTTTTTTTTAATTTTTGACAGGCAGAGTGGACAGTGAGAGAGAGGGACACAGAGAGAAAGGTCTTCCTTTACCAATGGTTCACCCTCCAGTGGCTGCTGTGGCCGGCACGCTGTGGCCGGAGCGCTGTGGCCGGTGCGCTGCGGCTGGCGCACCGCGCTGATTCGAAGCCAGGAGCCAGGTGCTTCTCCTGGTCTCCCATGTAGGTGCAGGGCCCAAGGACTTGGGCCATCCTCCTCTGCACTCCTGGGCCATAGCAGAGAGCTGGACTGGAAGAGGGGCAACCGGGACAGAATCCGGCGCCCAGACCGGGACTAGAACCTGGGGTGCTGGTGCCGCAGGCAGAGGATTAGCCTATTGAGCCGCGGCGCCGGCCTAGATTTGCTATTAGTTGCTGTCAGTTTCATTTTTTGCTGACCAAAGCAAGAATATCCTCCTTTTGTTTAATTTTTTTGAATTTTTTATTAATTTGAGAGGCAGAGGCAGAGACACAGAGACAGAGACACAGAGAGATACAAAGAGACTGATAAATAGAGCTCCCATCCACTTGTTCACATCCAAAATACCTACAACAGCAATGGCTGGGGTTGAGCCAGGCCAAAACTGGGAGCCAGAGACTCAATCTAGGACTCTCTCATAGGTGGCAGGAACTCAGTCACTTCAGTCATCACTTCTGATTCCCAGGGTCTGCATTAGCAGGAAACTGGAATCAAATGCTGATTTGATTCTGAGCACTCTGGTGTGGGGACATGGGGTCTTAACTGGTCTTAACTGCTAGGCCAACCACTCACTCCAGTATGTCCTTTTTAAGTACATTAGTTGTATTTCTACTCAGGTTTCTGAATGATTTATTTTGTGTTTATTTTCTGAGTTTTTATTAGATGAAAAATGTTTCATCTCTATTTTGTTCTTGTAAGAATTTTAAATGTATATTTTTGTCTCATTTCCCTAGGACCGGATTTTAAAATTCTATGCACAGACATTTACGCTTTCACCATTACATATGACTAAGGAGATTTATACAAGCTTAGGTATGTTTATTGAAACATTTTAGTGTTTTTAACATATCATTAAGAAAACTGTATAGGAAATAGCTTTTTGGAAGGAATGTAAATGAATGTATAATAATTTTATATTTTTGCTTTTTTTCAGCTAAATATTTGGAAGTATACTTTCTTTCTAGAGAAAATCATATTCCTACACTTTCAGCTGGTGTAGATATAACTAATACTAATATGATCCGCTTACTTAAAAAGGTATGCATTTGTTACAATTTGCTTTTATTTTTATTTAAGTCGTTCTATATTTAAGAATTCTAATTTTTTGAGAAATGTTGTTTACTCCCTTGTAGGTTCGTCTTCTAAATGAGTATCAGAGAGAGGCTCCTTCTTTCTGGATTCGTCACCCCGAGAAGTAAGTCCCATGATTAATGCCAATATAAAACATGGCATTACTGCTCCACATGCATTTTAAAGATGGAGTAACGACAGTTTTAATTGATTTTCATGATTAAGAAGTGATTAATAAGGGTTTTTTTTATAGCTCAACAAGTTTTGTATTTAGCTGTATGAATGGTTTTGCCATTTATAGCAACAACATAAAAAAAGCTGTAGCCTGAGGTTCTTTTATGTTAAACTCCCTCTCTCCCTCCCTCCTTCATCCTTCATTCTACCTTTTTCCCTCTTTTTTTTTTACTTTTTGAGATAACATTTTAAATTTACATAATAGTAAAAAGGCTTAATACTTCACCAAGTAAGAAATTTAACAAGTAAACAGCAAAAAGACCCAAGTTTAGTAGGAATGTGGATAATGAAACTAAATAATAATTGAATGTATAAATTACCATTTCACCCATATGCAATTTGTTGGTCAATTAGTCATTTATAGTTTCTTTTGATAAAATACAACCATTGACAATATAGCATATAAATATTTACTGTGTGGCTATGTTAATAATTAACTTCACTTAGACTTTAAACCATTTCCTTTCAACAGTTTATGCAAAGGAATAATTTTATGCATATTGCAATGCAAATAATTATGTATTACATTTTTTGTACTCTATTACAACAGACCAGGGAAAACATGATTTTTGTCTTTTTGGAATGGCTTATTTCACTAAGAATAGTGGTTTCCAGTTGCATCCATTTTGTTTCAAAAGAAAGGATCTCATTCTTTTTTATTCTCGAGTAATATTCCATAGTGTATATGTACCACATTTTCTTAATCTAGTCATCGGTTGATAAGCATCTAGGTTGATTCCATATCTTAGCTACTGTGATTCGAGCTGCAATAAACATGGGGATACATATAACTGTTTTATATGTGATTACATTTGAGTAAATTCCCAGAAGTGGGATGGCTGGATAATATGGTAGACCTATTTTCAGCTTTCTGAGGTATCTCCAGACTGTCTTCTACAATGGCTGTACTATTTTACATTCCCACCAACAGTGGATTAGTGTACCTTTTCCCTCACATCCTTGGCAACATTTATTATTTGTTGATTTCTGTATGAGAGCATTGTAACTGGGGTGAGGTGAGAAGTCATTGTGGTTTTGATTTGCATTTCCCTCATGGCTAGTGATCCTAAGCATTTTTTTTATGTGTCTATTGGCCATTTGAATTTCTTCTTTTGAAAAATGCCTGTTCAAGTCCTTTGCCCATTTCTGAACTGGATTGTTGGTTTTGTTGTTGTTGAGTTTCTTGAGCTCTTCATAGATTCTGAATATTAACACTTTATCATATGCATAGTTTGCAGATATTTTCTCCCACTCTTGTTGCCTGTTGACTTTGGTGTTTCCTTTGCAGTGCAGAGAAGTCTCAGCTTGATGTAAACCCATTTGTTAATTTTGGCCTTTATTTTTTGTGGTTCTGGGGTCTTTCCCATGAAGGCTTTGCTTATGCCAATGTCTTGCAGTTTTCACAATGTTCTCCTCTAGTAATTTGATGGTATCAGGTTGTAGATTTAGATCCTTGATCCATTTTGAATTGACTGAGTTTTTTCTTTGAGCTATGCCTCTGTGGCTTAGTGGAGTTTTTGCTCCTTCAGTTAATACCTAGAGGTGTGTGCTGGGTGGGGCCAGGGAACTCTGATCAGTGCTTAAGTGTGGGGTGAGAATCCAGGGTGACATACAAGTTGGGCGTGGTAAATATCTATTGTCAACAGTGGGGAGGGTATGATTACATCTGTTTCAAGGTGATCCATGCCCAGGGTTAGCCCACAGTGGGTACAACCTTCACCCAAGCTGGCGCATGAGCTGCATAAATGATCTGTGCATTCTTCAGTGTGAGACTAGAAACCCTCAGCAATGACCCACCCTGAGCAGTCAGGGAACTCTGATCCTCTGATACCAGACACAGTGATTGCCCAGAGACCCAACCACACCCCTGCTCTATCTTTCAGTCATAAGATTCCCATAGTCAAAGTGTGCAAGGCTCCCATGGCCATGGGGAGCAGAGATTCCCTTTTCCTCCCCACCAGCCTGCACAGCCATGGAGAGAGCAGAGTTGCTTTCAGAGCTAACTTCCTGTAGGTGTTCCACCTTGATAGTTTGCGCCCTGGGGCCTGTAATAGGTTGAGAGGATGGAGGCACCTCACAATTCTTTTTTTTTTTTAAGATTTATTTATTTATTTGAAAGTCAGAGTTACAGAGAGACAGAGGCAGAGAGAGAGAGAGAGAGAGAGAGGTGTCTTCCATCCACTGGTTTACTCCCCAAATGGCTGCAACGGCTGGAGCTGCGTTGATCAAAAGCAAGAAGCCAGGAGCTTTTACCATGTCTCCCACGTGGGTGCAGGGGCCCAAGGACTTGAGCCATTTTCTCCTGCTTTCTCAGGCCATAGCAGAGAGCTGGATTGGAAGTGGAGCAGCCGAGACTCAAACTGGCACCCATATGGGATGTCAGCACTGCAGCCAGTGGCTTTACATGCTACCCGAAGCGCTGGCCCTGGCACCTCACATTTCTAAGTGAGTGCCCAGTCTCTTGTCAACCTTCTCAGCCAGACTCAAAGGCAGTGGGAAGCACAGATTCCTCCCCTCCCCCAAATCCTCTGGTTGTGTGCACAAGAGCTGCTGTAGCTTCTATTTGTGTCAAAATGGTGCCTCTCCCCTCTGTTTGCTGAGTGCTCTTATCATGAATGATGAGAAAGAAATGTGCTTTTCCTTGGCTGTAGTAGGGGGTACCCTGCCCCTCACCCCCTGCTAGAGATCTAGGCCGTACTCAAAGACAGTCTGGACCACAAAGATCTCCCTCAGGCAGTTTCACCAGTGGCACCAGCTGCTTCAATCTGCCTTTACCTCACTCTCAGAACCTAATGTCTCCTCTAGCCGCCAGCTGCGGAATTTATGAATGGTGTCCCTTCTTGCTGCTGTGTGTACGTGCTTTCCATGCTGCTCCACTGCATTCCTCTTTTTTCTGTAGATTTTCCTCTGCAAACCTCTCTGCAGCTCTCGCCTGGGAATGCACTTCCCCCGATTTTTTTCTGCTATATTTCCCTGTTCAGAATCCGCACGTGTTTTCCCTAATCAGCCATCTTGGAATCTTCTGCAAAAGTGATTTTTTTTTTAAAGACCAGCGCATCAGTTTTTAAGGAGAAAAATCGCGTGTGAATCCAATCCCTATTATTTACTGAAATATAAATAAAAATTTTTCCTATAGATTTGTTATTACTTTATCATAACATAAATACAAAGAACATCACCAGCCCTAGTATATCTATAATAACTTTTTTTTTTTCCTGAAAACCCCTTCTTTCTCAAACATTAAGGTATATGGAAGAAATTGTGGAGAGTACTTTGTCTTTGTTGTCAGTTAAACATGATCAAAGCCATCTCATGTCACAGAAGGTTTTGGATCCAATCTACTTTTTTGCATTAGTCGATACCAAGGCTGTGTGGTTCCAAAAGTGGATGGTAAGGAAATGTTTTTATATTCTGTAGTGCATTGCTACATTGCTACATCATTCTAAAGTATAGCTGATGTTTGAGTATTTACTTTGTGAGTTCTTATTGCTTTTATATGGATTGACTCATTTAATTTTTATAAAATTCTATGAGGTAGGTGACATTAATACTTCATTTTTGAATTGTAATGTTTGAGATTGTTTACCTAGTAAGTGATACATCTAAAATAGGCTCTTAAATGATAATTTGAATCTCTAGTTGAACTGTTTAAAATCAGATATTCTTTAAAACTTTTCAAATTTTTAAATAGGTGTGGTTGGAAATAAAATTTCAATGCTCATTTGTTTTAAAAATATTTCTTTATTTGAAAGGCACGCACGCGAGAGCGAATGAGCGAGCAAGAGTGAGAGCGAGCTTCCATATGCTGGTTCACTCTTCAAATAGTCACAACAATTAGGACTGGGCAGGCCAATAGCAGAAGCCTGGAACTCCATTGAGGTCATCCACATGGATGTCAGGAATCAAGCACTTGGGCCCTCTGCCCCTGTTTTTCCAGGAGCATTAGCAGGGAGCTGGATGGGTGTGGAGCAGCCTGGAATCCCACCAATGCCCATGTGGGAGGCCAGTGTCACAGGCTGTGTCTTAGCCTGCTATGCCACAATGCCTGCCTCAGTACATTTCTTATTCTTAATTTATCTGTTTATGTCTTTTTTTTAACAAAAATGAAATGTTGTACTAATTGTTTAAAATTAACTTTATTTCGCTTAACATCTGTATTGTTAGAACTTGATTCCTAAGAGAATATGAATGATCACAGTAACCAATAGAAAGTCATTAAAAAATCAGATAAACAGCTACTGTTAATATTAACTACTGTTAATGAAAATTCATCACATCCTTCTATACCATTTATGTCTGTAAGGACCAGACATTAAATATTCATGTATTTGTCCTTGTGGACTTTCTGGTCTCTGTTGAAGTTATTTAACCCAACTGTTGTATCCCCAGAGCATCCATATGTGTTAATTAAATGAATGGACTTCACTATGTCCTAAAACCTTATTTACCAAATCAGGCAATAGATTGAATTTTGTGTGAGGGCTTTAGTTTGCTAACTATGATTTCAAGGGATAAGTTATGAGAGTTCCTTTTTAGAATATGATCAGAAAATAATTTAGTTATACATTAAAATATTTCTCTTATTAAAGGTGTAAAAAGAATTCATGGATTTTGAAATATTTTAAGTCTCAAGGTTAAAACATACAAGATTCTGATTAACCTTCAGTTAATAAAAATACTAATAAATTGAAAAAACTCTTTTTCCCAGAGTTCCGATTTTTTTGTTTACTGGGGTTTAGTTTGTTTACTATTTTGGTTGTTCCTAGATAAAATACAAAAGCTATATTTTACCACTAACGACACCTAACACTAAACATTTCACTGAACAATATTTACAGTTTTCCTTGCTTTTGCACCATGTTGTGCATGTTTTAATTCCATGTATATTTTGCTTTAAGTAGAGAATTAAAGCTTTTTTGGCTGTTTCAATAATTTTTAAATATAATTGGCAGAAAATGATTAGGATACTGCCCCTTTGGGTCCTTTCAACCTTGGCAAATTTTTGTTCTGGTAGACAATATGATATTCCTATCGGACAGAGATTATCTCCTTGCCATCTGTATCTTTCTTTGGGTTCTGTCTTAATACAAGTTGTTGGCTATGATTTGGAGTGGTCATTTTAAAATTGTTTAGCATGAAAATTGGGCACAATCGATTGATAGAATGGTTTTTCACTGGCCTGTCACTAAATGATCCATGTTTTTTTGATATCATTTGTGCCCTTGTTATTGCTATGCTTCCAATACAGTGTACATAGAAAAACCTGTTTCTCATTGATTATTATAATTTAAACCTAAGCTATTGTGTGACTTTTATTAGAAATAATAGAGGGAAAATATATTTTGAATGGCCTAGTTTAAATATTAAATACCATTTCTCCTGAATTTTAGCATGCATATTATAGCAGATCTGCAGTATTAAGACTTCTTGAAAAGAAATATAAGTCTCTGGTAAGTTTGTGTGCCTATCTTTTTATGTTAAAAATAATGTCACAAAAAGGTTTATGATGTAATAACTTGAATATACAAAGTTGAATGATGATAATTAATATTGGATAATGAGGCCATTCCATTTTTATGTAGCCTTAAACTACCAACAAAAGGATAAAAGTAAGGACTTAAAAATGCAGTCAGGATAATGATTAGTAAGCATAGTGAATTGGGATGCAATAAATAAACTAGTTTGACAGAAGCCATATTTTTAAGCGTTGGCATGTAATTTGGTTCAGATCAGGTATTATGTAGGGAATTCTATAAAATATACCCATACTTTTGAGTAAAAGTTGCATAAAAAATTCTGAATGATAAAAGCTTTTGCATTAATAAAAATTAGTTCAAGATACATCATGTATTAGGCTAATATTATAACATATGTTACCAGGCTACATCAACATATATTACTATTAGAAGAAAAATGTGAAAGGCATTGAGAGGAATTGAAATTAATGTCTAATAAATAATAATTGACAAACATGAAAAACTTGAAATTTATTAAAATACTTTAAGAGTTTTCTATATAACCATATGTATATGTTGTATATTAAAGACCTTGAATTTAGAGGTGAGATGAAAGACAGATTCCCGGAATTGTGAATTTTTGAATGAGTGCAGTAGAGAATAAAATGAAATGTGGAAAACAATTGTCTTGTGTTTGAGAATCAAGAGAATTGAGCTGCAGAAAAAGAGAGGGATTTTGAAAAATGGTATGGAAATTTGTAAAAGATGCTTACAAGTTTTTGGAGAAATTGAATTGAAATAAGTCTTTTATTATTTCATATATCTTTCATTCTTAAATGAAAATTTGTTGTTGCCATATGAGCATAGATAGGTATTGTTAGAACTGAGAAAAGCAAAAACAAATAAGAGCATATTTTTATTCCATGGTTTATATACTCACACTATTACTATCACAGAGGCCCCAGTGGAAATATTTCAAGTATATTTCTTTTTGTTAATTTTCTCATTATTAATTACATATATATTTTATTTTTTCCCCAAATAAAGCTTTTCAAGTATGTTTCTAATATGTTAACTTTTAAATATTTTTTTTGAAAAGTTAACTATACTCAAATTTTTAGCCAATAAATTCAATTTCTTCATTATAAATCAATTAAATATATTATTTGGTCAAATATTTACATCCTGTTACATAATCTGTTAACCTGTATATTTCAACTTAAATCTCATTTTCTTAAAAAAAAAAAAAAACTTTCCTTCATTTACAACATATCAACAGATATTCATGGTATATTGGTTTTTTTAAAGTAACCGTGGCCGCAGTTCTGAAAAAAAATCTTGAGCAAAATGGATTCAGGATTCATTTATTTCTGTTTTCTCTTCAGAATTGAAGATTAAATTTTGTGTATCTGTGGTAAAAACTTTGGACCATGCCATGAGTTTTGTCTTCTGTTCTATAAGACACCTTTATGTTAGGACTGGTCATAGCAGCCTGTTATGCATGATGATCTGCTAAAGCATTTCTTCTAGCTTCTCATCAGTGCTGTCCAATAACATTTTCTGTAATGAATGAGAATCTGCATTGTTCAATGGTATAGCCAGTAGCTGTGTGGTTATCTAGTGAAAGGTGATAGAAGCATTAGTTAAGGATAAGACAGTGAGAATTGGGATAATGGATGGCTTAAGGTATACCATATTTAGAATGTAGGATTTAAAGTCCTTAGCTTTTGTTTGGAGAATGGATGAAGCCTCAGATAATTGAGATAATGTAATTCATTGAGGAGATAATTGAGATAATGTAATTCATTGAGGTTTCTAACACAGCAGGAGGAAAATTTTTGCTGGGAAAGATAACGGTTTTTAGATTTAGTAGATTTGGTTATATTGAGTTTGAAATGCAGATATCTAGGAGGCATGGATCTCTGAAGTATGATTTAGAAAAGAACTGTAGCTATCAAAGAATGGTCCTCCAAAACCAACCCAATTTGGTGATTTGCTAGGAAATATATATAGTCATATTATCAGCTGCCATTTACCCATATTACAATGTAAAGATTCAAAGCAAGGAGAACAGGCACATTGGGTAAAATCTGAAAGATATGAAAGTGCTAGCTAGCTTCTAAGAGTCTTTTTCTCCACCAAAAATCATATAGGATATGCACAATTTCATCACAGAATTGTGACAATTCCTGTGAAATGTTGCCTACAGGGGAAATTCATTGGCTCAATGCGACCTCCACCCCCGCCCCCCAACTCTTTTTTTAACTGGGGCTGATCATGTTGGCATCCTCTGTCTAGGAAATACCACAATCCCAGATACCTAAGAGGAAAACAGGTGTTCAGCATAAACCCCACTCATATCTATATAGACAGTTTAGGTATGGTGAAATCCCTCCTAGCCATTCTGTTAATGGTTTAAACCTTTCTGAAATCCATGTTCCCAGATGCTCTCAGACTCCAACTATAAAATCAAGCTTTTATAAAGATAGAAGTTCTACCATGTTAACTCTTTTCTGTGTACATTTGAGGCCATAAGAATTAACTAGCTTGGAAAATCCATTGACACCACAATTATTAAACCATTTCTGTCTGTGAAATCTTCAATTTTTTTCCCCATCTCAACCTTAATCCTTCTTTCTACTTGGGTCCTATTTGCTTCTTCCTTTGCTGTACTTTTTTCTCTCAGCTATCCTTCTCTTTTGTATGGGGATGTTCAAAAAGCTCGTAGAAAACACATATTATGGAAAAAACTATACGTGGATTTCAAATTTACTTTGCACTAAAATGAACACCTACTAATTCCATTTTTCATAAAGTTTTGGAAGTATCCTCTTCCTATTAACTTTCCTCAATTACATTTAAGCATGATCATATCCTTCCAACTTGAAATTATTCTTGACTTGTTAAGATCCCTGTACTATCAGCCCTATTTTTTTTTTCTTCACAACCAACCTTCTTGAAAATGAAAATTATACTAGTTCCCTATACTTTTTTGGTTCTTATTCCTGTTTCAATTATGAACTGGCTTTATTCTCCAAGCTCCCCTGAAATTGGTCTTTCCAAGATCACCAACAACCTCCTTTTTATTAAATCTATTAGTTATCAGTCCTTATCTAATGAGTGGCTTATGTTTTACTTGGAAATTACAGTGAAAGGGCATCTACATCAAACAGGTGTTGAGGAAAGAGGAATTCTCTGCTCATGGTGAATGGGGAGAGGAGTTAGAGTGGAGACTCAGCAGAATCACTGGGCATAGTAAGGATTGGAGATCATTTTTTATTGTGACTCTTTTTTGAAAATAAGATATTTCTTTACCGGTTATCAGCATTTTTAGTTTTTGAGGTAAGTGAGAATGAAGGCTTGATCTAGCTGGTATTTTAATGGATGAGTGGGAAGAAAATATTCAAAGGCAAAGGTATTGGGCAAGATAGTTTTTAGTCAGGGCCACCGAGTGTTTGCATCTTTTATTATAAGATGTAAAGGATAAGCCTTATTTCCATCAATTTACACCAATATTATAACAATATTGGTTGACTCACAAATGCTTTCACTTTCCCCAGAAAAATGTAGCTGGGGAGACTGAGCTTCATTGGATAGAAAAATACTATTCTGGAATTTTTCTCGAATATTCTCTTAGAGCACTTTTTTAAAGCCTCCACTAAATTTTCAAGTTACTGGACTTAGGGCTAAAAATGTCTGGAATTAATTAGTTATTATTTTATCAGATAACTACAGCAGTTCAGCAGTGTGTTCAATATTTTGAATTGTGTCAGACCATGAGAACTGGTGAAATTTTGGAACAATCAAAGCATTGTGGTGAGTGTCATTTTCTCTATAACATACTTTAAAAGATTAGTTTAATTAATAACAATCATTTAGTAATAACTTATTCAAAGTAGTTGTTTAGTTGTTTATATCTTGGTAAGCTAGATCACTTGCTAATGGTGTGAAATATTATTTATAAATATAAAGATATAGTATAATCATGACTTTTTACAATAGATCTACATTTGAAATTAATGTCATAGTGATTTTTTATTATATGCAGTTCTTCAATTCATACTAGGGTATGTATCCTAATTTTTTATACTACAATAATACACAGTCCATTGTTTTCTCTCTGCTAGTATATCAGTCATTCAGTTATTCATTCAATCAATCTCTTATGTTCTTTAATGGGAGGAAAAGTTCCATAAAATCTTATCTTTATTACTGGATACCCCATTCTACTTTGTGACTCCTCCCTTTTTATTCTGAGTTAGCTAAAATGTCCTAAATGCTTCATAATATGACAGTAATTTATTTCTTTTTTTAAAAGATTTATTTTATCTATTTGAAAGGCAAAGTTAGAAAGAGAGAGAGACAGAGAGAGACAGAGACAGAGACAGTTAGACAGAGAAGTCTTCATCCTTCCATCCTATGGTTCACTCCCCAGATGGCTTGCAAAGGCTGGTGCCAGGCCGAAGCCAGGAGCCAGGAGCTTCTTCTTGGTCTCTTTCATGAGTAAATGGCCCTATGGACTTGGACTGCTTTTCCAGGCCATTGGCAGGGAGGTGGACTTGAAGTGGAGCAGCTGCATCTTGAACTGGTGCACATATGGGATATTGATGCTGCAGACAGTGGCTTAACTTGCTGTGCCACAGTGTTGGCCCCTGGCAGTCATTTCTTTTTTTTTTTTTTATTTTATTTTTGACAGGCAGAGTGGACAGTGAGAGAGAGAGAGACAGAGAAGAAGGTCTTCCTTTACCGTTGGTTCACTCCCCAGTGGCCGCCGCGGCTGGCGTACCGCGCTGATCCGATGGCAGGAGCCAGGTGCTTCTCCTGGTCTCCCATGCGGGTGCAGGGCCCAAGCTCTTGGGCCATCCTCCACTGCACTCCCGGACCACAGCAGAGAGCTAGCCTGGAAGAGGGGCAACTGGGACAGAATCCGGCGCCCTGTCCGGGACCAGAACCCCGGGGTGCTGGCGCCGCAGGCGGAGGATTAGCCTATTGAGCTGCGGCGCCGGCCCCCTGGCAGTCATTTCTAATCTGATCTTTTCTCTAGTTACTGACTAAAGTAAGTCTTCTTATATTCCTCTTGCATACTGATACCTATACAGCTTTCTTTTTACTTCTATTGCTCTATTCACAATCCTCTACACTAATAGCTATCTTATTCATTGTAACATTACAATCTTCAAATTTTTAAGAATACTTCTCTGCTTATTCTGAATTTTTGTTGCTTTTTCACTTACAACTTACTTACAACTTGTCATGTAAAACTGCTATCTTTTATCATCCTGTTATTTTTATGTTGTTTCACTAAGCAAATAACTTGTTCTGAGAGATGGAGATATAATTTTCTTCATCCCTGAGTAAATTCTTTAGTTCATAGCAAGTGGGAAATGATCAAAGAGTAAATCATGGTGGTGGAAAAAGTACAAAGTCAGAATTTATTCTTCAAAGGAAGTAAAAGGATACATGTTTATATGTCATCTTGTTTACAAATTTATGGAGTTTTCTAAATTCTTGATATAAAATTTTATGTCTAGCTGTTTCTTTTCCTGTCATTCTAACAATCCCTATTTTCTTCGGTGTCTAGTGAAGACTTCAGTGTTCTTCATTGCATTCTGCTGTTTCCAAATTTTTGCTCATTTCTCCTTCAGAGGTTCCTGCTTGCAGTTCTCCAACTTTATCAATTCAATCCTCTGTGGTTTCTGGTATACAGGAAGTTAAGCAGAGAGAATTTGTGACATAGTTTAAAAGTATAAATATATTTTTCAAACTTTGGTTACTGTCTTTGTGTTTTGGAATGCTTGTAGATGTTGTTTCTTTGATGTTCCATTACAAGCCTCTGCTAATGTCCTAACCCCTGTCTTGCTCCTGTCTGCTTCCCTGTTAGGAGGAGCTCCAGGGAAAATAGAAGTTTCCAGATATGAGTTTCCCAAATGTCCTGATTCTATTATACAGATCCATGTTTAAATGTTCTTACAGATATTCCCTTTCTTTAGACTATAATGAAGAGGTGTCATGTTCCAGATTGGTCTCTTTATTCTCTTGATTCTGTTGTTGGATTGTTTAAAGAACTAAGACTTCTTCACTTGGTACTGTGTCCCTCTTTCTACTAGTATTTTATCCTGCTTCCTTTAACAGGCTTTTTTTTTTTTTTTTGTGCTAAAAAAAACCAGGAAATTCTGTGCTTCATATGTGCTTTTTTCCCTCTGCTTCTCTTCAGAAAAGAGCACTTCTCAGGACCCATTTCTTTACCTGCTATTAACTTTTCAACCACAGAAATGAAGCTTTAGTTTCTGTTGTTCCATGACTTTCCCATTATTTGTTTCTAATCTTTTTTGTTCCATGATGCAGTGTTTGCCTCTGTGGATCCTTTTTCATATATCCTCCACATTCATACCTGATCAGTTGCCTCACATTGACTTTCAAGTCCAATTTTATTTTATTATTATTTGTTTAAGATTTATTTTTTTGTATTTGAAAATCAGAGTTACAGAGACAGAGCGAGAGACAGAGAGAGATAGATCTCTTATCCGCTGCTTCATTACCCCTGATGATTGCAATGGCTGGGGCTGGGCCAGGCCGAAGCCAGGAGCCAGGAGACTCTTGGGCCATTCTGCTGCTTTTCCTAGGCTGTTAGCAGGGAGCTGGATTGGAAGTAGAATAGCCAGGACACAAACTGGTGCCCTTATGGGATGCTGCATTGCAACCAATGGCTTTTCCTGCTGTGCGACAACACCAGTCCCAGAATTCCAATTGTATACCCCTCTGGTTTTATGACACCAGTAAGTTTGTGGCTTTATGATACCAGTGAATCAGCTTCTTGTATAAAATGGGTACTTAGTAGATTATGACTGTATGGATCACTGAGTAAACGAAGAATATATATTGGAAGATGTCTATATTTTAGTGATTCTAACTTCATTTACATTTATTATTATAAACATGATATTTTGTAGTACAGATTGAATATCCCTTATCTGAAATACTTGAGGTATTTTACATTTTGGAGTTCTTTGGGTTTGGGAATATCTGCATAGACTTTACTAGTTGAACTAGTTCCCAACCCAAAAATTAAAGTCTCATATGCTTCAGAAATCAACACTTTCAAAAAATTTTTATTTAATGCATGCAAATTTCATGCATTTCATATATACAGATTTGGGAACATAGTGATTCTTCCCTCTATACCCTTCCTCCTGCCCATGCTCCCACTCTTCTTCCTTCTCTCTTATTCCCACTCTTAATTTTTACAAAGATCCATTTTAGGTTTACTTTACATTAATAAGATTAACCCAACAGTAAGTAAAAAGTTCAACAAATAGTATGAGGAAAAAAACATTGTTCCTCAGAATTAGAGACAAGAGCTATAAACAATTATTGAATCTCAAAATGTCATTTTTACTCATATACATTACAATTTAGATACTCTATTGGTTACCACAGATCAGTCAAATCATATGGTATTTGTCCTTTGGCTAATTTTACTACATATAATTGTTTCTAGTTGTATCCATTTTGTTGCAAAAGACAGGATTTTTTTTTTTTACCACTGAGTAGTATTCTGTAGTGTATTTATGTTTCAGTTTCTTTATGCAGTCATCAGTTGATGGGCATTGGGATTGATTTCATATCTTACCTATTATGAATTAAGCTGCAGTGAACATGGGGGTACACATAACTCTTTCATATGCTGATTTCATTTCCCTTGGGTAAATTCCCAGGAGTGAGATGGTTGGGTCATATGGTAGATCTACTTTCAGATTTCTGTGGTGTTTCCATACTGTCCTCCACAGTGGCTGTACTAGTTTACATTTCTATCAATAGTATATTAGGGTATCTCTGTATGAGAGCTGTTGTAACTGGGGTGAGGTAGAGCCTCCTTGTGGTTTTGATTTGCATTTCCCTGATGGCTAGTTATCCTGGGCATTTTTTCATGTGTCTGTTGGCCATTGGAATTTCTACTTTTGAAAAATGCCTGTTCAAGTCTTTTGCCCATTTCTTCTTTTTTCTTTTCTTTTTTTAACTTTTATTTAATGAATATAAATTTCCAAAGTACAGCTTATGGATTACAATGGCTTCCCCCCGATAACGTCCCTCTCACCTGCAACCCTCCCCTTTCCCACTCCCTCTCCCCTTCCATTCACATCATGATTCATTTTCGATTCTCTTTATATACACAAGATCAGTTTAGCATACATGCCCATTTCTTAACTGGGTTGTTTGTTTTGTTGTTATAGAGTTCTTGAGCTCTTTATATATTCTGGATATTAATCCTTTATCATTTGCATAATTTGCAAATATTTTCTCCCATTCTTTTGGTTGCCTCTTCATGTTGCTGAAGTACAGAAACTTTTGAGCTTAATGTAATCCCATTTGTCAATTTTGGCTTTGATTGCCTGTGGTTCTGGGGTCTTTTAGGAATCTGCTTATCACAATGTCTTGTGGGATTTCCCCAATGTTCTCTAGTTATTTGATTATGTTGGATCATAGATTTAGATCTTTGAACCATTTTGAGTGGATTTTTGTGTAAGATATAAATAGAGGTCTAGTTTCATACTTTTGCATGTGGAGATCCAGAGAAACCAAAACTTTTGAGCACTAATACAATGCTCAAAAATTTTAGATTTCAGGAGATGGCATTATGATGCAGCAAGCATATGAGTGCTGGTTTGAGCTCTGTATGCTCTGCCTCTGATCCAGGTTTCTGCCAATGCAACTAGGAAGGCAATGGAAGATGGCCAAGTTCTTGGGCCCCTGCCACCTTTGTCAGAGACCTGGATGGAGTTCTGGGCCTTTGACTTCAGCCTGGTCCAGCCCTGGCTGTTTTGGCTAGTTGGGGAATAAACCAGTGGATGGAAGATACTATTTCTCTCTCTGTTACAGCCAGTTGGAGAATAAATCATTAGGTGGAAGATCTCTCAATCTTAAAAACATTCAGATTTCAGAGCATTTCAGTTTTCAGGTTTTTGGGTTAGGAATGCTCAACCTGTGTTGACTTTTTTTTTTTTTTAAGATTTATTTATTTATTTGAAAGAGTTACACAGAAAGAGAAAAGGAGAGGCAAAGAAAGAGAGAGGTATTCCATCCACTGGTTCATTCCCCAATTGGCCTCAATAGCCAGAGCTGTGCTGGCCCAAAGCCAGGAAACAGGAGCCTGGAGCGTCTTCCAAGGTCTCCTGTGTGGGTGCAGGGGCCCAAAGACTTGGGCCATCTTCTACTGCTTTCCCAGGCCATAACATAGAGCTGCATGGGAAGTGAAGCAACCGGGACTTGAATTGGCGTCTACATGTGCTTTACCCACTACACCACAGAGCCGGCCCAGTGTGTTCACTTTTAACTAGTAAAATTAAGCAGAACCTACATTTTCTTTCTTTTTTTTTTTTTTTAAGATTTATTTTATTTATTTGATAGAGTTACAGAGAGTGGTAGAGACAGAGAGAGACCTTCATCCACTGATTCACTCCCAATATGGCCGCAATGGCTGGAGCTGCGCTGATCTGAAGGCAGGAGCCAGGAGCTTCTTCAGGTCTCCCATGTGGGTGCAGGGGCCCAAAGACTTGGGTCATCTTCCACTGCTTTCCCAGGCCACAGCAGAGAGCTGGATTGGAAGAGGAGCAGCCAGGACTTGAACTGGTGTCCATAGGGGATGCTGGTGCTTCAGGCCAGGGCATTAACCCACTGCACCACAGCGCCGGCCCCCAGTAACCTACATTTTCTATTGATTTTCTCCCTCCCTCACTTTTAAGGTTTTTCCTTAATTACAGATGATTACTCTGGCAATCTTGTGATATTTATTTTGGAATAAACATTGTATGCAAATTGCGCTATTCTGAGGTTTGCCAATTTTATGACTGCTTTTATTCAGCTTTAATGTAAAGAATTTTTGGAAATAAAATAATTTTAAAAAATTCACACCAAATGTTTATTATAGGCTATAACTGTGTTTAATGTTCAGGAGGGTGTGAAGACAGGTACTATAAAATATAAATGACATTAAAATAAATGTCTTTGTTTGCCTCCTCTAAGGGAACAGACAGAAAACTTTCTACTACTCAGGACAAGAATTACAGTATATTTATTTCATCCACTCACTATGCCTGTTAGGAAGATTACTGATTTATACACAAGGCAGAAAACTCTTTCCTGTAAAGCTGAAGAATAGAAAAGGTAAGTGTAATTAGGAGAAATGAGTATGTTGAGAGATGGTAAGCTATAGATTGTTATTTTTAAAGTTTATTATTTATTTGAAAGGCACCTAAACACAGAGAGAGTGCAAGAAAGAAACAGATACAGACAAGGAGAGATATTCTATCTGAGTCATTATCTGAAGTCCTCTAACAGTGGCGGTGGGCCAGGCTGAAGCCAGGGGCCTGGTGCTCACTATGAATCTCCCAGGATAGAACGGACTCAAGTGCTTGAGCCAACACCTATTGCCTCCCAGGATATGCCTTAGCAGGAAGATAGAATTGGAAATGGATTTAGGACTCAAACCCAGGCACTCTGAAGTGGGAAGCAGACATACCATGTAGTATCTTAACTTCTGTGCCAAATGTGTACCCTTGGATTTTCAAATTTGGAAATTTGGCATGGTCTCTTCTAGGATATGTAGCTACAGACCTTTTATTTTACCAATAATTCACACAGTTTGAAGCATTTACTTTTCCTTTTAGTCTTCAGTGTGTACTTTTCCCTACATGTTTAGTTTTTTTTTTTTTTCTAGCTTTTAAATGTTTTCCTTATTTCTCTCAGATATAGTTAAAAATCTAGATCTGGGTGCAGAATTAGAAAACCTCATGTAAGTTTTGGCTTACCTATAAATGGCAATGTTTTGGACAAAATTTTTTTTTAAAGATATATTTATTTATTTGAAAGGCAGAGTTACAGAGAGGCAGAGGCAGAGAGAGAAAGGTCTTACATCTGCTGGTTTACTTCCAGATGACCACAAGGGTTGGAGCTGTGCCAATCTGAAGCCAGGAGCCAGGAGCTTATTCTAGGTCTTCAACATGGTTGGAGGGGGTCCAAGGACTTGGGCCATCTTCTATTGCTTTTCCAGGCTGTAGCAGAGAGCTAGATCAGAAGTGGAGCAGCTGGGACTTGAACTGGCGCCCATATGGGATGCCAACACTGCAGGCAGTGACTTTACCTGCTGTGCCACAGCAGCAGCCCCATGGACAAATAATTTAACCTTTATTCTTTTAGTTTGGTATATCAAATATCATAGGTCATCTCAAGATGATGTTCTGAGTGGTCTTTTGTTCTATGATAATGTAGACCAGCATTCATCTTTAAGTTTCAAATGCTTTTTCATTAGAATCCTTTAATTAAGCTTCTATAGCAAAGGATGGTACATTATTATCCAGGGGCCAAATCTGGTTTGCCTCTGGTTCATATATTTGTGAGTTAAGAACGGTGGTTTTTAGGTTGTTGGAAAAAAATTAGAAGACCATTACATTTTGAAACATGTGAACAAATACATATGAACAAATACATACATTTCAGTGTACATAATGATGTTTTATCGGTAACTCATTCATTTGCATATTGCCTGTGGCTATGCAGTGCTACAAAGTGGACTTGAGTATTTATAAAAGAGGCTGTTTGGCTACAAAGCCTAAAATACTTTCTTTCTAATTCTTCACAGAGAAAGTTTGCTGACCCCTTTTCTATAATGCTAAATATAGATAATTGAACCAGTACATTCAGGTGGGTTTTACTGCCCATAATTGGATGTACTCTAATAACCGTGATTAAATTAATACACTTTCATATTATAGGTTTGTGTTAAGTGATTGGTTGAAAATATATGGAGAAACAACCCTCGCATAGCACCCATTGTATTGCTTACCTTACCATCTTTTCCCTATGTCAGATTGTTTCTGGAGTCTTCTGTCATCTTCTGCCATGGATTGTCAGCTCACTTCTGCCTTATTGTATTACAGCTTCTATGAAAATCATATTGGTGAATGGAAATTCAGCTAAAGTTTTTGAGTTGCAAACATGATTGTAATTATTTTTTTCTTTTTTCTTTTTTTAAGATTCAGTGTCCCTAACAGAACTGCTGGTTTTGTTTACCCAACTTATTTATTATTCACCAAGTTGTCCAAGGACAACATCAGCTTCAGAATTAGGTAACTTTGTTTTATTTTAAATAGAGACTTAGATACATCTAAAATATTTAACTGTGCTATTGTCTAGATGTTTTGAGTGTTGGACCTAGTTTGGTAAACTGGGTTAAGATATAATATTATTTGTAAGAAATTACTTTAATCTTGAAGTAAGACCTGATGCCTAATTTTGTTGATATTTTAAGGTGTTTCTAATCTCTTAAGTTTTTATTTAGAACCAATTTCTCTGAGAATTTTAGTGTTATTCTTTATTAATATCAAGGTGCTCTTAAGAAATGATATAGAAATTTTCACTGATAGATACAAATCTGTTCTTTTCAATTTTCTATTTTTTACACTTTCCAGTATATTTTGATTAGCTGGCTTGTTTTGGTTCATATCCATAACTTCAGTCTTTTTAAGATCTTTCATTGAAGAGTAAAGAAAAGAAACTCCACATTGTCTCAGTAAAATGTCTCTCAGTTTAAGGCTATTAATTGGCTTACAAAAATGTGTTAAAATATTAATATTTAAAAGTTAACTTTGTTTTTCCCTTTGGATATCCATAAAAGTTTCCAAAGTTAAATGCATAATAAAACACCCCATTAATGCATATATTTATAGTGTTCTAAAATTGGGAAGTACTCCAGAAATGCTAGCACAAGTTCTGAGAGAAACTCAAGTGAATCAAAGAAAAAATGATTTGGGCTATATATTAAAGCTATAATATATCAACTAGTACATTTTATTGGTGAAATTATAACATCCTATTGATTGTAACAGTGCTTTCAGACTTTTTTTCTTTTACTGTATTTTCATCTATAAAGTGTCAGTTTAAGTAAGCCTGCTGTATAGTCCTACAACATGGTTTGTTTCCTTTTAGTAAAATCATCTTTTCATCCTTTCTTGATATGGTTACTTGTTTTTTAAAATTTTTTAAAAAGATTTTTATTTATTTGCAAGTCAGAATTACACAGAGATTTTCTGTCCAGTGGTTTGCTTCCTAAATGGCTTCAACGGCTAGGGAATGGGCTAGACCGAAGCCAGAAGCCAAAAGCCAGGAGCTTTTTCCAGGTCTCCCACATGGGTGCAGAGGCTGAAGTGCTTGGGCCATCCTCTTTGGCTTTCTCAGATGCATTAACAGGGAGCTGGATCGGAGGTGGAGCCGACGGGACTTGAACTGGTGCCCATAAAGGATGCTGGCGCTACAGACGGCGGCTTTACCTGCTACACCACAGCGCCGGCCTCATTATTACTTGTTAATATCCATAAAAGTCCATCTAGTGGATTTTTTTAACTTCTTTGTCTTGTACAGTATCTGATGTGTGAATGCACAGATAGTAGGTGATTGGATAAATGAAAGAATGGACAAATGCTTATCAATAAAATGTCTCAGCATAAAGAGTTTCTCATGTGCAGTAGATTGAGGAATCACTGAACTTTCCTTTTTCCATTTTATTTTTGTTAAATATTCACTTGAAGTCAACATGTGCTTTTTGTCTGGAATATTATAACATAAGTTAAGGATTTGCTGTGTTAGTTTTGTACTTTAGTAGGACAGTCTTACATTAAATTCCACTTTTGTGAGGATACTAGTTCAAGTATAGGAAAATATGCTAATTTATGAAATTAAAAATATTTATTTCAGCGAGATATATATCCGTGATGTTACATTTACGTGTATTTGTGTTTTCTTGTACATTTTTTAAAAGAAAAAAATACTATTTTCATTGGTTTTTATGCTAGCACAAGAAGTATACTTGTCTGCATGAAAATTAATGACAATTTCTATTCTTGTCTGCCTTCCTTTTTGTACACTGTGTCATCTTAGTGACTCTCATTTAATTTTCTGTGGGGCTCAGTGGCTAAATATATTACTTAAAGAAAGAATTAAAGTGATTGAAGTAAAAATTTTCTAGGAGGAAAAAAGTTATGAGCTTGTTTTAAACTATGTTTTCAATGTCAAACAATGATTTAATGTCAAATGGTGAATTATTTTATGTTTTTGTCTTGACATTTATATTAATTGTCCTTTACTTATTTTTGTCTTAACATAAATTGTATTAAGGGAACTGAAATCTCCTTAAGTTACCAGTTATAAATTGGTAATGCTCATTTTATCCTTTGGGCATTGGGTTACATGTGTTTTTTTTTTTGTTTAAACTATTGAATTTAATTTGATGTTGAATTTCTTGGAAAAACAAAAGCTAACACATAAATAGAAGTCTACTAAATATTTAATGCTGTATGTTTTAATTTGTAAAAATATGTTTTTCTTATCAGAGAATTATTCTCCTGCCAGTATGGTGACTGAAGTTCTGCAAATTCTCTGTGATCAAAAAGAGTGTGCTATCGAATGCTTATATAACAATACTGTGATAGAGGCACTTCTTCAGCCTATTCATAATATAATGAAAGGAACAGAGGTTGGTATTAGTTACTAAAGAGAAAAACAGTCTTTTAATTGGGTATTAGTGAACATAGGGAAAGCTTCCTTCAATCCACTGGTTTACTCCCCAGATAGTTGCAATGGCCAGGAGGTTGGAACTCCATATCTCGGTCTCCCATGTGGTTTTCAGGGGCCCAAGTACTTTGCCTATCTTCTGCTAGTTTCCTAGGTGCATTAGCAGGGAGCTAGATCTGAAGCAGAGCTTCCCAGACCCAAACCAGTGCTACAGTACTGGATGCCAGCATTGCAAGCAGTGGCTTAAACTGCTGTGCCACAGAACTTTAATTCCAAATTTGGTATGTTTCATGTATTATTTTATTATACTGTGTTCCCATTTATGCATGTATTTTGGGCTGGCACATATTTTTATTATTAAATTATAGTTCATATAGCTGGTTGATTTATTAGTTATGACAAGGTGAGGAGAAAAATACCTATGTCTTATTTTTTTCTAATCAGGCTTAGATGTGCTGATGCCAAGGACTTAGGAAAGCTGTTCTATTAAGCTGTCTTGGAAATCTAACAAATCTTGTGAACATTTTATTTGTATTGATGCAACTTTCTAGGGGTAGATACATTGGAAATAGATTATATTTGTAAGAACCGACTGTGTTTTATGTTAAGAAGAAATGGTTTTACTTTAGAAAGTAAGCTTACATGCACGCCCAATTCTAAACACATTTATCTCTTTACAGTTTACACAGAATATTACCTTATATCATATAATTTAAAAATTAATTTGCTTGAAAAGTAGGAAAAGAGAGAAATATCCTATCTGCTGATTCACTTCTTAAGTGCCTATATATGCCCATCATATAATTTAATTACTACAACTGAGGCTTAAGGAAGTGACATGCTCAGTGTTAGATATTTAGAGTGACAGAGTTAATACTGTTCCCAGTCCCACTGTCTGTACAATATATCCCTGTACTTATGATATAATCTTTTTGGCAGTAACTTTTTTTTTGGCAGTAACTTTTTAAAATTTTTTTTATATTTATTTTATTTATTTATTTATTTTGACAGGCAGAGTGGACAGTGAGAGAGAGAGAGAGAGACAGAGAGAAAGGTCTTCCTTTGCTGTTGGTTCACCCTCCAATGGCCGCTGCGGCCGGCACGCTGCGGCCGGTGCACCCTGCTGATCCAATGGCAGGAGCCAGGTGCTTCTCCTGGTCTCCCATGGGGTTCAGGGCCCAAGCATTTGGACCATCCTCCACTGCACTCCGGGCCACAGCAGAGAGCTGGCCTGGAAGAGGGGCAACCAGGACAGAATCTGGCACCCTGACTGGGACTAGAACCCGGTGTGCCGGTGCTGCAAGGCGGAGGATTAGCCTGTTGAGCCGTGACGCCGGCCATCAGTAACTTTTAAAAGTTACCAGTAGGCTAAAAGTTTTTACCTTTTCATTCTGTTAAACCTGTATTGTGTTTATACTTTTTTTTTTTTTTTTTTGACAGGCAGAGTGGACAGTGAGAGAGAGAGAGACAGAGAGAAAGGTCTTCCTTTGCCACTGGTTCACCCTCCAATGGCCGCCACGGCCGGCGCACTGGCGCACCACGCTGATCTGAAGGCAGGAGCCAGGTGCTTCTCCTGGTCTCCCATGGGGTGCAGGGCCCAAGCACTTGGGCCATCCTCCACTGCACTCCCTGGCCACAGCAGAGAGCTGGCCTGGAAGAGGGGCAACCGGGACAGAATCTGGCGCCCCAACCGGGACTAGAACCCGGTGTGCCGGCGCCGCAAGGCGGAGGACTAGCCTAGTAAGCCACGGCGCTGGCCTGTTTATACTGGTTTAGTCATCCTGTTATACTCAACAATCATTGGTCTGTCATAATCTGTCCAGCTTGTTGTTTATTGTATAAATTTCACTATCCTCAAGTTGGCATTTCCCAAATTTTCTGTTTTCCTGTGTTATAACTATATTCTTTTCCATATTATCTAGTTATAACAAACAATTTGAATTTATGAACATGATTATTATTTACCTGAGTTTGTATACTTTTTCCCTAGCCTTGGAAAGTCTTAAATTTAGTTCATATGAAAAATTATTTTCTTTAGACCAGAGTTTTTTCTGAAATTTCTCCCCAAATTTCCCTTTCAAAGTTAGGAGTTCTTTTCCTCTCCTACTCCCATGTTATGTGATTCTGTAATTGTTCTTACATTATGCTTGGATTATTTATTTATTTATTTTAAAAGATTTATTTATTTATTTGAAAGTCAGAGTTACACAGAGAGAGATGGAGAGGCATAGAGATAGAGAGAGAGAGAGAGAGAGAGAGAGAGAGAGAGAGACAGGTCTTCCATCTGCTGGTTCACTCCGTAATTGGCCGCAGTGGCCAGAACTGTGCAGATCTGTAGCCAGGAGCCAGGAGCTTCTTCCGTGTCTCCCACATGCAGGGGCCCAAGTGCTTAGGCCATCTTCCACGGGCCATAGCAGAGAGCTGGATTGGAAGTGGAGCAGCTGGGGCTTGAACTGGTGCCCATATGGGTTGCCGGCACTGCAGGTGGCAGCTTTACCTGCTACTCCACAGCACTGGCCCTGGATTACTTATTCTTGAGCTTAAGGACCAGCCCTTGGGCATATAGTATACATTCAGTACTTAATTTAAGACACCTGGCATCACCTGTTGCACTTGTAGCTTTGTTTTGGGTACTAAATACAGAAAAGAATAAAACATGTTTATTGTCTTAAACTAGTCTGCTATAACAGGAGAGACATTTTTAAGCAAAAAAAAGATAAAATGAGGAAAACAGTTCCAAAAAAGTATAGGAATGTGTGTGTGTGTGTCTGTTTGTATGTATTTGCATGAGAGAAAATATATTCTCATATATGTATGTATAAATACCTGACAGGAAAAATAAAAATAGATACTTGTGGAAGAGGAAATTATTCTGAGTTTTTTTTTTTTTAAAGATTTATTTATTTTACTTGAAAGAGAGGGAGAGGGAGAGAGCGAGAGGGAGAGAGGGAGTGTGGGAGAGAGTGAGAGTGAGGGAGAGGGGAGGAGGGAGAGAGGGGCGAGAGAGATATCTTCCATCTGCTGATTCACTCCCCAGATGGCTGCAAAGGCCAGGGCTGGGCCAGGCCAGAGTAAGGAGCTTCTGCCGGCTGTCTCACATGGTTGGTTCAGGCCCAAGCACTTGAGCCATCTTCCACTGTTTATTAGGACATTAGCAGAGAGCTGGATCAGTAGTGGAGCAGTTGGGACACAAACTGGAATCCATATGGGATGCCATCCTTCTCGGAGGCAGTTTTACCTGCTGTGCCTCAATGCCAGCCCCATCCAAGAAGAGAAGTTTAAAGAAGGCTATTTAGCATAAAAAGTAATAGACTGCCTAATATATTAGTTGACTACCTCTATCTGGATATTTTTTGAGTGAATATACACAATTCAACATTAGTTAAGATATCCCATACAATTTATTAGAATGTATTGGTTGCAACTTGTACATTTTCACATTTATCGTAGAGAACATGTACATGGACTTCCATGCAGGTACAATGCAGATTAATAAGAGGACCCAAGAAAGAACAGGAATTATAGTAACTGGGCCCCACAATAATTCCAGAGGGTGTTATGCATCAACAAGATTTTACGGTTACCAGTGTTTTTTTTTTTTTTTGGTGCTATTTTGGTATATGCTCTCAAAGCTAGTTTAGTACTTCAATGTGTAATAAAAAATTAGGAAATGTGGTTGGCCCAGCTTACATTTTTCACTAGTAGTATCCTTTAGAAATGATGGTAGTTTGTTAAATGCCATATACAATATGATTACATTGGAAGTACAGGGACCCAGTGGTTGGAAAGTAAAGGGAAAAATAGAACCAGAGGAGCTACTGTGCTCATTAACAGCAGTTGTTTGTAAAAGCATAATAGGAACAATGCTCAATAGCTGGCTTGGGTGAAAAACTTGTGTTTATGTACATCATCAATTGTGCTGGTAAAAGAATATAATTTAGTGTCACATTTGATTCTGAACATATTTCATACCTAAATAAATAATTATGTTTTTTCTCTTGTGGTAGTGTAACTTTAGTAAATTGCATACCACTTTTGGATTTTAGTCTGTGATATATTAGTATGATGTAAAATGTACAATTTTTCATATCTTTTTAATGTACAGGCTGCTCTGAATTGCTCTGAAACAGCTTTAACTCAGATAGCTGATATCTTGGCAAGAATTGCCTCTGTAGAAGAAGGACTTAGTTTACTTCTTTATGGTGAAAATATGAACTCTTCCAAAGAAAACAGGTATATCTACCTTTTACATCCAGATAACTTTTCTAGTTATAGTTATGTGTCCTGACTAGCCACTATTAACATATTAAATGATCTTTACAAATTTGCAGGAGTAATCCGGGTTATGGTCTATGTGTGCAGAGTAGGCCTTGATGTCTGTAATTTTTTTTTTTTTTAAGGTTTGTTTGTTTATTTGAAAGTCAGAGTTAGAGAGAGAGAGAGAGAGAGAGAGAGAGAGAGAGAGAGAGGTCTTCCCTCTGCTGGTTCACTCCCCAGTTGGCCGCAATGGCTGGAGCTGTGCCAATCCGAAGGCAGGAGCCAGGAGCTTCTTCCTGGTCTCCCACGTGGGTGCAGGGGCCCAAGGACTTGGGCCATCCTCCACTGCTTTCCCAGGCCACAGCAGAGAGCTGGATCAGAAGTGAAGCAGCCAGAACCTGATCCGGCACCCATATGGGATGCCAGTACTGCAAGCAATGGCTTTATCTGCTATGCCACAGCGCTGGCCCCGATGTCTATAATTTCAAAATGAGTCAGAGGGTTCATTCTAAATGTGATCATCCCTCAAAAAATTCTAAAGGCACACATGATTGATTGAAGTCAGATCAAACAAAGGTGTTCAAAGGAGAAGCTATTTTCCCTTTTCTGTGATCACCTAGAGGGAGATGCCTGACCAATGGCACATTTTGATATTTAGGCTTCTAGACTTTCTCTGCACTTACAGTGATCTGATACATCAGACAAATGTACAATCACACCAACATACAAACATGAATATTTCTGTCTCCTCTTTACCAAAATGGTATTATTATTCTGAAATTTGAGTTTTATGTGTAATCATGTACATTTTTCTAGATGAGTACAGAATGAAATGTTCCTTTCTTTAATAGATTTATTTATTTGATGGACAGAATGACAGAGCAAGCATGCTTCTATTTGCTGTGTCACTCTCCAGATGGCCCCAGTGGTTGGTGCTGAGCCAGACCAAAGCCAAGAGCCTGGAATTCCATCTGGGTCTCCCAAGTGGGTGGCAGGGACTCAAGTACTTTGGCTATCATCCACTGCTTTCCCAAGTGCTTTCGTAGGGAGCTAGTTTAGAAGCAGAGCGCATCCAGCACTTGAACTAGCACTCCATATGGGTTGCCGATGTTGCAAGCAGCTTGTTCTCATAATAAGTTAGGAAATTATTCCTCTGTTTTGTCTTTTGGAACTGTTGAACAGATTTGATATAATTTATTCCTTAAGTGTTTGATAGAATTTACAAGTGAACCAGTTTGAGCTTGGTATTTTCTATTTTGGGAGGTTATTAATTATTTATTCAGCTTCTTTAATATATATATATATAGGTCAGTCCAGATTGTCTATTTCTTTTTTAATTTTTTGCTTTCAATATAGAAGTTTTTTAAACAAATGTTTTAATTTATATAAGGTGAATGAATATCATGTATTACATATATACAGAATTAGGAGAATAATGATACTTCCCACACTACTTTCCTTCAGTGGTTGAGGCTGGACTAGGTAGAAGCTCCTACGTGGGTACAGGGGCCCATGCACTTGGGTCATACTGTGCTACTTTCCTAGGAGCATTACCAGGGAGCTGTATCAGAAGTAGAGCAGCTAGAATTCTAGCCAGCACCCATTTGGGAAGGCTGTGTCACATGTGGTGGCTTTACCTGCTGTGCCACATGCTGGCCCCAACACCAGGGGTTTTAAAACCTTAATGGAAAATGTCTATTGTGAAAAAAATTATATATGGTTTTCAAAAAATTGTTGCCCTAAAATAAACTTACCTTTTAATTCCATTTTCTATGAACTTTTTTTTTAAAAAAACTTATTTCACAGTATTTTTAAATTTAAAAAAAATTGTGAGGCAGTACAGTTACCCCCTATACCCAAATTCCCCTACTGACAGATTAATAAATTTAATTTGTTCTTGTTGTTCTTTTTGGTGGTTGTCTTGATGTTTGTACAACAGGATTGTTTGTAATTACTAATCACATTGTTTTAATTGTATTTAATCACATTTTAAATAATATTACACTGCTTAACTGCTAGTACAATGACCTTATAGCAGTGTTCCCAATTTCTCCCTCCTGTTTCTTATATTGTTATTTATTTCATTTTTCCCTAAGCTAACATCACTAGTTACATTTTTATAATTTTGAGCAGATCTATTCATTAGATCAATTAGTATAGAAAAATAAAAACATTTTTTTCAACTTTTTAGATTCACTCTGAAAGTGATAATGCTGAATCTGAGAACACATATATTTAAACTCAAAATCTTACTGTTTCTGCCAGATTATTTTCCAATATTCCATGAAATTTTACCTTCTTGCCAAAAATGTGTGAAATGTATGAGCAGTGTCTCTTTAAAATATTCAGTTTGTTAAGGTTTTGGCAAATTCATGAATTAATGAGATTATTTTAATTCTTATTTACCCAACTCACATTGAACTTGAGCATCTTCTTGCTCCTGAGAAGATAGTTACCATTTTCATTTCCTTGATACTAATGTTTCTTTCTATGTTATTTGCAAATTTTTAATTTGATTTTTCATTAACTCAAGGTTACTTAAGGACACATGCAAGCTTTATTATAAAGAATAGACATTTCTTTTTTCTTTATAATTTCTGTTTTTATTTTTAAAGTTTTAATTAGTTTTTCACAGATTCAATATGGTTTGTAGTTACAATTCTAAGACCATAGTGATATACCCTCCCCCCTTTCCTGCCCACCCTCCTGCCTTCTTCCTTTCTTTTTTATTAGTTTTTGAGATAATATTTCAAATATATATTAAGCACAAAGTGTTAATACTTCACCAAATAAGAAGTTTAACAAATAAAAAGAAAAAAATCCTCATTTGTGGAAATACAGACAACAGCTATAAGTAATAATTGAATAGAAAATGAACATTTCACACATATACAATTAATTTTAAAGTATCAATTCATTCACATTACAGTAGAACAGCATTCTTAGCCATTGATTTGAAAAAGGTATAAAACAAAGTTTAACAAAATGATATTTGCAGCAGTACTGATACACACAGGCCTTTCTTTCTCTCTTCCTTCCTTCTTCCCTCCCTCCCTCCCTTCACCCCTTTCTCCCTCCTTTTTTCCCTTCCTTCCTCCCTCCTTCCCTCCCTTCCTCCTTCCCTTCCTTCATTCCTTCCTTCCCTTATTTTTTCTTGTTTGTTTTTAAATTTTAGCTCCCATATATATGGGAGGACATGCAATATTTGTCTTGTGTCTGGCTTATTTCACTCAACGTGATGTCCTCTAGTTGTGTCCATTTTGCTGCAAATGGTAGATTTCATTCTTTTTTTATAGGTGAGTAATATTCCATTGTGTATATATTCTACTTTTTCTTTATCCATTCATCTGATGATGAACACCTTGATTGATTCCAAATTTTGACTATTGTGAACATGATGGTGCAGGTATCTCTTTGATACAGCATATTCATTTCTTTTGGGTGTGGGATTGATGAATCATATGGCAAGTTTACTTCTAGTTTTCTAAGCTATCTCCTCAGTGTTTCCCAAGCAGCTGCACTGATTTATATTCCCACTAACAGTGTCTAAGTGTTCCCTTTTTTTCACATCCTAGCCAGCATTTGTTACTCTTAATGCTGTGAATTTAAGCCAGTCTGACAGGGATGAGGCAATCTCTCATTGTGGTTTTAATTTGCATTTCCTTGTTGGCTAATGATGTTCAGCATTTTTTCATGTATTTGTTGGCCATTTGCATTTCTTCTTGAGAGAACTGTCTATTGAGGTCCTTTGCTCATTTCTTAACTGGATTGGTTGTTCCTTTGTTGTTGAGTTTTTGTTAAGTTGCTGAAATATTCCAAATATTTATCCTTTATCAGATAGGTTGCTTGCAAATATTTTGTCTCATTCTGTTGTATGTCTTCACTGTGTTGATTGTTTCCTTTGCTGAGCAGAAGGTTCTGAGTTACACGTAATCCCATTTGTTTAGGTTTGCTTTTGTTGCCTGTGCTTTGGGGGTTTTATCTAAGAAGTCATCCCCTACATCAATGTCTTGGAGTGTTTCCTCTATTTGCTTTCAGCAACTTAATAGTCTCAGATATTAAATGTAGGTCTTTGATTCATTTCAAATTGATTTTTGTATATGGTGAGATGTATGGATCTAATTCCATTCTTCTACATATATATATATATATATATATGTATATATCTGGAGATATGTATATATACATATACATGCACACATACATATCTCCAGATTTGCCAGCACCATTTGTTGAAGAGATTACTCCACTATATGTTCTGAACACTTTTGTCAAAAATCATTTAAGTGTATGAATGTGGATTAATTTCTGGGCTTTCTCGTCTGTTTCATTAATCTATGTTTAGGATTTATGTGAGTACTATGCTTGTTTAATTATTATAGCCTTGTAGTATGTTTTGAAGTCAGGTATTATAATGCTTTCAGCTTGATTTTTCTTGCTCAGGATCACTTTGACTATTCTGGATCTTTTGTGTTTCCATATGAATTTTAGGATTTCTTTCCTAATTCTGAAAAGAATGTCATGGATATTTTGAATAGCGATTGTATTGAATCTGTAGATTTCTTTGGGTAGTAAAGACATTTTAATGATTTTTATTCTTCTAATTCATGAGCAATAATTCCATTTTTTGTCCTCAATGATTTCTTTCATCAATGTTTGAGTTTTTTTGTGTTTTTTTAAGTAACCCTGTTTGCATTAATTTATTAAAGCATTTAAAGGAAACTAATACATGAAATTTGTGGTACATAATAGGTGTTTGGCAAATCATATTTTCTCCTTTTATTCTCCATCAAAGAAGGAGGTACCTTTCTCTGACGGGAGGAGAGAACTTCCACTTTGACTGTGGCCTTGTCTAAATAAGGTCGGAGCTGGCAAACTCAAGAGGCTTCCATAGCCTTGGCAGCTCATGACAAGAGCCTCGGTTTTAATTACTGACATCATAAATAAGAGTGTCAATTGTTAAATCAACAACAGGAGTCACTTGTGCACTTATTCCCCATGTAGGATCTCTGTTCTTAATGTGTTGTACTATGTGAATTAATGGTGTAACTAGTATTCAAACAATATTTTACACTTCTTGTTTCTGTGTGGGTGTAAACTGTTGAAATCTTTACTTAGTAATACTAAATTGATCTTCTGTATGTAAAGATAATTGAAAATGAATCTTGATGAAGAATGGGATGGGAGAGGGAGTGGGAGATGGGATGGTTGCAGTTGGGAGGAAGGTTATGGGGGGAAAAAGCCGCTATAATCCAAAAATTGTACTTTTCAAAATATATTTATTAAATGAAAGTTAAAAAAGAATAAACTAAAAAAAACCAAAAGCTTGGTGGACTAAAAGTGAGCAAAATAAATGAAGAATTTTTGTGACAAAGTTAAGCTTTTGGTTATACATCAGAAAGTCAAGAGTAAATGACCTTGGAATCACTTTTAGGTGTCATCTTTTAGTCCTACAGGTGCTCACATAATTGCCCAATTTTCAAAAAAACTTCTTGATGAAGATATTTCTACTTTTTCTGGATCTGAAATATTGCCTGTTGTTAAAGGAGCTTTTATTTCTGTGTGTCGTCAAATATATGGTACATGTGAAGGCCTGCAGGTGTTAATTTCTTATGGTTTGCATGAATCTATAGCAAAGGTATGGAAGAAGGTAAGTATTTTCAAGTTTCCTTTCACATCCATGCAAGTCTTTATTTTACGTATAGTCATGATTGCAGTATTGTCCTCTGGACAAAATATTCTTGGGGATTAAATATAACTTCTTTAGCAACATAGCACTCTAGGGGACACAGTATTTCTTAATTTGTCATATGTCTTCAGTACTTCTTTCAATGGGACAGAATTCTAAGACTTAACTGGTTATTATGTCTTTTCATCTGGTAGTACTTTCCACATGAATTTTCTTTGCACAGATGAACATTCCTCTTTACAAATTATTTCTGAATAATTTTTTTTGGATAGCTGATTTTTGTTAGGAATGCTGGAAATAATGTAAGAATAGCCATGTATGGTATATGTAAATGGATTAATAAATATTTTCATCCTTATTTTATTGTATTATTTTTTAAAACATTTATTTGTTAGAAGTCAGAGTTACTGGGGGGAAGGAGAGGGGGATGTAGAGAGAGTAGGGGAGAGAGAGAGAGAGGATGTTCCATCTGCTGGTTCACACCTCAAGTGGCCGGGCCAAAGCCAAGAATCACAAGTCCAGATATCCCATGTAGATAACAGGGTCTAAGCACTTTGGCCATCTTCCACTACTTTTTCCCAGGCCATTGGCAGGGAGCCAGATTGGAAGGGTAGTAGCAAGCACACAAACTGGTGCTCATATGAGATGACAGCATTGCTGATGCTGGCTTTACCTGCTACACCACAGTGCGGGCCCCCTTATTTAGTTTTTTAAAAATAAAATACTTTATGTATTTGATGAACAAATAATTAAACTTTTGAAGAACACTTAATTTTAATTATTGTAAGGATCAAAAATAAAGTTGTAGCTCCCCGTCTTCGTGGAGGAACGACACAGGACCCTGCGCTGTTCTATTGTCTGCTCGGCCCTCCCCGGGTTTGCTGCTGGTTCTTCCCGGGTTGGCTACCGTCCCTTCCACCTCCGGGGAAGGGCGGTTCCCCCTGCCACTTTCCCCACTTCCGCAGGGGAGCGGCACACCGCCGGCCGGCTCTCTCGGGGGCTGCTCAGGTGTTCCTTCAGATAGATGTTCCTTCAGATGTTCCTCGTGCATGTTGTCTCTCTCCTCCTTTATAGTCCTCTTCCACCAATCCCAACTCTGCTACCCACACGCCGAGTACACTGCTCTCCTCCAATCAGGAGCAGGTCCTGCTGTTTATTGGTTGAACTGGAGGCAGCTGAGTAGAAGCTGTTTCCTCCTCTCCCAGCGCCATATTGTGGGAGAGCAGATGCATAGAATAAGTCTTAATTCCAGTAACAGTCTAATCTGAGTTGCTCCCCACAAAAGTGCACTATAAGAGAGCTCAGGAGTAGTGCTATCAGTAAGAAAAAGAATAACGTAAATTAATCTTTTTTTTTTTTTTTTTAGACAAGTTTTCTATCAGAGAGAATTCCTACTCCAGTAGAGGGTTCTGATTCTGTTTCCTCAGTGAGCCAGGTATCCCAAAACATGTAAGTATAGTTGATTAATATCATCTGTTTATTATCATTACTGAAATATTTTTCAAGTTATTATGATGTAATTGAATGCTATAGCAAGATATTTTACAAGAAAGTAAATGTATTCACATAGGATCAAGGAAAATTACAAATCAGAAGGAACTTTAGATACCATATGATACTTTTTTTTTTTTAAGATTTATTTATTCATTTGAAAGACAGAGTTAGAAAAGGAGAGACAAAGATAGAGATCTCCCATCTGATAGTTCACTCCCCGATAGCTGCAATGACCAGGGCTGGGCCAGGCTGAAGCCAGCAGCCAGTATCTTCTTCTGGGTCTCCGGTGTGTGTACAGCAGCTCATGGACTTGGACCATCTTCCACTGCTTTCCCAGGTGCATTCGCAGGGAGCTGGATTAGAAGTGGAGCAGCTTGCGCTCAAACTGGTATTCACATGGGATGCGGCTGCTGCAGACAGTGACTTAATCTGCTAAGCCACAGCGCTGGCCTCTACCATATGGTACTTTAAAAAAAATCTGGCAATATTGCTTTTGTATTTAAATTTTGAATTAGGAAACTTCCATACTGTTGATGTTTCCTACAATTTGGAGAATTACCAATACTAAAATTAGAAAGCTGACCGGAGAGTTCAATAAAAGTGAAATGTTTTCAAATTCCAGTAAGTTTAATTATTTAAAAATATTTTTCAAAATATGGTGGGGATATATTTTAATTATGCTCTGATACTAGAAAATTATTTATTTTTGTATATTTTAATTTGTATCTTCATATTTCTTTTTTAAAATTTTATTTAAGTTATGTAAGTTTCATGTATTTCATATATACAGAGTTAGGAACATAATGATACTTTCCTTCCTACCCTCCCTCCCACCCAATCTCTAACTCTTCTTACTCCTTCATCTCACATTCCCACTCTTATTTTTTACAAAGGTGTATTTTCAGTTTACTCAATGATCGTATAGTTGATCCTACACTAAGTATAAGAGTTCAAGAAATAGTGTGAAGGAAAATAAAACAAAATACTGTTTCTCAACAGAAGAGAGAAGGGTTGTAAATAATCATCAAAATGTCCGTTTCACTCCTAAACATTACACTTCATGTTTCTTTAAAATACCATTAAGGTATGGAATCGGATTAGTGGAGTAAATTTTTCTTTTTAAATAAGGTCTGGTGACATTTGTTCCAAGATTTCTATTTTGTAGTTGAGTATTGGGATAGCTTAAAAAGATAATAATTTGGAAGAACTTTAAGGAATATTCTCTATTAAAAGGAATACTGCAGTTGAGTTTGAATTTCTTCTTTTTGTAGGTATCATTTAACTTAGAAAAACAACTGATCAAACAGAAAACCTTTTGGTTTCCTTGATAGAATAATACTCAACAAATAAATAATTCTTGATAAGTTTTCTGAGTTTTTCCTAATTTAGTTGTCACAGACTTAACTATTATTTTTCTTTGTAGTTAATGGGATGAGTAAAACATTCCTACAATTCATTATTGAGACAGTATTTGGCTTTGTTTTCTTTACTTTGGAATCTAGTTTGTCACTTTGTTTTCATTCATGCAGTCATGCATTCATTTTCCTTTTATTTATTCAGCTGTTTATCAAATCAAGTGCTATGATGAGTTCCAAAGACACATACAGGCCTTAGTGAGCATGTTGTATAGTGGGATACAAATAAGTAAATACATCATGACAACATAATATGCTAAATTTGTATGATGGGGGTTGCACAAAGTCCATTGTGAGCCAACTTCTGGGGGAAGTCTTCTCAGAAGTTATTGTGAAACTTATAAAGAATACAGGGATAATCACAGTGTAAATAGAGGAAAGAATGAATATTATTACAGATGAAGAAATGGTGCAGTCAATACGCTAGAAGTGGTAGGGAATATGATTAATGTATTTAAAATATTTCACTTTTTTAGTATTTTTAGACATTGATGTTTTAGTATGAGAAAGCTATTAATTTATATACACAATTCTATTATTCCTGAGTTATAAACCAATTAAAAGATACAGAAGTAAAAAAAAATTGAATAACATAGGCTTCCTATGATTGGTCTTAAGAATTTGAAAGATTTGCGCTAGCCTTAATATGTGATGGCCAGTTGTAGGCGTCCCTCAAGTCAGAACTTACTGCTATCAAACTTAACAACTGCATAGTTAAGCAGAACAAAATGTGTGCTTCCTATGGGTAGTTGGATCTGCAAAGGGTAGTGGACTGGAGAGAAAGGCGATGCTTAGCAAGGATGCTTTGGTCATTCTTCAAATTTTAAATTTCTGCTTCTTCCATGTGGAAGGAGGAGTGGGTGACTGGGTGGAGAGAGCTAAACAGTTTTAAAGTGGATGATGTGCTCCATATGGAAACTTGATATCAGGAGAGAGGAGGTTCCCTAACATCTGATATTAATGTCTGTATTAGTCAGAGTTCTCCAGAGAGACAGAATCAAAAAGACATCTAAAAAGACATCTGTCTATTGATCGATCGATTGATTGATAGATCTATCTATCTATCTCTGTGTCTAAACTGATAGCAATATCAGTATATGAGAGAGGATTTATTAGAGCTGTCGCTTCATGCAATTATGGAAGCTAAGAAGTCCCATGACATAATATCTACAAGCCAGAGATCTTGAGGAACCTGGTAATGTGGATTAATTCAAGTCCACAGGTTTGAGTGGTACAGGGCTGGTTCACTCCTCAGTCACTCCTCAAATAGGGCTGGGCCAGGCTAAAGCCGGGAGCCAGGAGCTTCTTCTGGGTCTCCCATGTGGTTGCAGGGGCCCAAGTGCTTGGGCCATCTTCTGCTGCTTTCTCGGGTATGTTAGCAGGGAGCTGGATCTGCCTTTCAGATAAATAAATCATAAAAATAGTGTTTCTGTATTACAAAATGGTTAATGTAAGATGTCAATATGTATGTATTTATTTATATTTTTAAAACCTGAAAATAGATATTTGTATATTTTGAAATGCAATATGGGTTTTAGCAGACTTTTACTCATTGAAACTCTGAATACTCCCTAATTCTCAGCCTTGTTACAGTTACCTAGACTTCCTTCTTTATCTTTTTGATTACCTAATTAATTTTTCCAACAAATATTAAATAAATCACTGACATGTTGACTATTAAAAATTGAAATATGAGGCCCATTTTTTATGGTAGGTTTACTTTTTTCCCTCTGAATCTATCTTTTAATTTTTCAAACATAATTATCCTTTTATATTAACATTTGAAATTTTTTTATATCTGAAAATATGTATTCTCCCTCCAACCTACACAGATGCTTCCCCTGCAAACTCACATTCTCATTCTTAAATGTAGTTTACTTGTCTATAAATGTTCAAGTAACAATTATTTCTCATCATCACTATTTGATGCTGTTGTATTAGAATATAGTAATTGATAAATCAGTTGTCAGTATATCACCTTTCCCTTGTAGGTTGTATTTTCACTTTAAGAGTTGAATTTTTTTTTATATTTGCTATTTTTTTGTAATTTAAGTTTATTCAACTTGGTACTTGGAATGATCTTTAGCTCTAGTCTGAAATGTCTTTCCTCAATTCTAAAAAAAACTGTATCATCTTTTTAAAAAATTTTCAACTGGCAAATAATAATTATATATAATATATAAAATTATATATCATGGAGTACAATGCTTTTAAAATGTTTCCACTCTCTTTTCTTGTAGCTCTTGTTTCCTCTCTCTCTGGAGAAAATTGTTGGCCTTCCTTGTTAAAGTGTTGTGAGAAAAAAAGATGTCATTTTTCCAAAAGTAAAATAATTTATATTAAAAACCTATAAAAATAAGAAGAGATAATATGTATGATATGCTTTAGAAAGTCATAAGATATTTTATAATGAATTGCAAAAGTACATAAATAACAGAGTTGAGAATTTGGGAAGCCAGCTACAGTAGAATTATAATAGAAAAATAGAATGAAATTAAGGCATGGGTGAGAGAACCTAGGTGTAATAAAGTGCTGACATATACTTAATATCTCATTCATTCACTGAACAAAAACTGTTAGTATAGAAGATGTAAGAAAAGGGGAATTCACTTTCAAAGAAATCATTATTTTATCTGGAAAGATTCTTTGAGTAATTTGTAGCCAATCTGCTGTAAATTTAGTTACTGTCACTATTGAGTTGAAGTACTTTCTTTTTAGTTTTGAACATACTGACAAAAATCCTACTATTCTTTTACCTGTTTCAGTATGGCTTGGGAAGAGAATTTGTTGGATGATTTACTAAATTTTGCTGCCACTCCCAAGGGATTACTACTTCTTCAAAGAACAGGTGCCATCAATGAATGTGTGACGTTTATGTTCAACCGATATGCAAAAAAACTACAGGTATGAAATACCATCTTTCAAAGGCAAGAGGAATTTTTGATGTTATAAAAGCCATTAAGAACAATATTCTGTTTTCTCTGCATGAGGAGGTTAGTAAGCCTTAATTAAAAAGCCATCTATCATTGTAATATTTAACTCAATTTTTTTGTAGGAAAGCATTAGAGAATTGGCGTTGGTATCCTTATTCATAGAATTGCACACAACCAGATGGAATTCAAAAATTCAGTTGATCATCCAGATGTTTTATAAATGTAATATCAAACATCTGGGTTCATTGAAGCTGTTAGGAACTTCTGGATGAAAAAGTGCTGTTAGGCCAAATGCATGTGTCATTAAGATTGAGGCCTCACATTTAAATGTATATGTTTGTAGAGGCATTCTGTTGTCCTGCTATTAAATAAAACTTGCAGTATCACTTAGCTTTATTCAATTAGAGGTCCTTGAGTTGTATTCAACTTTTCTTCAGTCTTTAAAAAGGTCTTAGGTGTGCTTTTGAGAGTGTTTTTCTTTTCTTGTCTTTGGTTCTCTGATTGTAAAAAGTGCTTTCTTTCTTCTTGCTCTCTTCAATTCTAATTTTTACTTTTGTTTAAATCTATAATATAAGAGATAATTAAACTTTTTTAGTTGTCTTGGTGAAGAAGTTCCTGAATGAGGGCCCCGACCATCCCCTCATACACAAAAGGTGTCAATAGTATCTTATGATATTAGGTTTGCATGTGTAGATACATATGCATGATTTCAGATTTTTGTGCTGAAAATTTTTCATGTCATTTTCAATGAACTTTCTTTCATTTTATTTGAGAGACACAGATGCCTGTACCAAACCACTCTACTCACTGCCTGTCCCTCTGTGAACTTTTTGAAGTACTCTTGTGCATTTTATTTTGTTTTATTTTAATGAACCTCAAGTATAGAGAAGGTAGTTGTTTCTGTGCCTCAGTTTGTGGCATATTGCCCTCCTACATTCATGTAAGTTTCTACTTTTTGTTTATGCGTTTTACTCTGGTATCATTCTTGATTCTTGGTTCCATTTCACCTTGCCTAAATCTTGTAATGCTACGTTTCCATGCCAGTGTGTTTACTGGGTGTAACAGCCATGGATATGTGGATTTCTTGTAGGAAATACAGATTTTTGTCAAGCTTTTTGAAATTGACATTTTGTTTTAATTTTATTTCTCTGCTACTAAGTTTGCATCTCTCTTTATTTATTAATGAACTATTTAGATGTCAGTTTTGTTTTTAAATATTTGAGAGCATGCAGATAAAACTTTTTTTCTCTTTTGTTTAGATGACTATGCAGAAACAACTTTTACTATGGAGATAATACACTCAGGATGAGATTTTTTTAATATTCATAAATTTCAAAGCAACATGAATTTTTTTTGTATCACTCTAGTGATTATCATAGAAGATACTGTTCCCACGACCTTAGTAATTTGCAACCTTGTAGTTTAGTATATCACCATCTTCATTGTCATTGTAATTATCACAGTAGTTCAGTGTTACTATATACTATTCAGGATGTTTTGTTTATATCCTCAGTTATCTTGTAAGAAATCAGTTGGGTTAGGTCATTTCTTTAGGTTATACAAGTTTCCGCTATAGGAACATCTTGACACTTCTCCCCCTAGCTTCCTTACCACCTGTACTTCAACTCTTCCTCCTTCTCCCTCTCAATTTCCCACTGTTAATTTTTACAAAGAATACTTTCAGTTTACTCAATGATCATACAGTTAACTCTACACTAAGTGAAAGAGTTCAACAAACAGTGTGAAGAGAAAAAACAAAACAAAACAAAACACTGTTTCTCAACAGAAGAGACAAGGGCTATAAACAATCATTGAATCTCAAAATGTCTTTTTCACTCCAATTCATTACATTTCAGTTACTCTATTAGTTACCTTGGATCAGGGATAACATATGGTATCTATATTTGGGGGGCTGGCTTATTTCACTAAATATAATGGTTTCCAGCTGTATCTATCTTGTCCCAAAAGACAGGATTTTTTTTTTATTTTTATTTTTTTTAACTTTTATTTAATGAATATAAATTTCCAAAGTACAACTTATGGATTACAATGGCTTCCCCCCCATATCGTCTCTCCCACCCGCATCCCTCCCCTTTCCCACTCCCTCTCCCCTTCCATTCACGTGAGGATTCATTTTCAATTCTCTTTATATACAGAAGATCAGTTTAGCATACATTAAGTAAAGATTTCAACAGTTTGCTCCCACACAACATAAAGTGAAAAATAATAGATGATTTTTTAAATGATGATGAAATCAGATCAGACCTATTGTCATGTTTAATCCCAGTTAGAGTCAAGTTGGGAATTGATAATTTCTTCTTTTTTTTTTTATACAGAAGATCAGTTTAGTATACATTAAGTAAAGATTTCAACAGTTTGCACCCCCATAGAAACACAAAGCGAAATATACTGTTTGAGTACTCATTATAGCATTAAGTCTCAATGTACAGCACATTAAGGACAGAGATCCTACATGAGGAGTAAGTGCACAGTGACTCCTGTTGTTGACTTTACCAATTGACACTCCTGTTTATGGCATCAGTAATCTCCCTATGCACCAGTCATGAGTTTCCAAGGCTATGGAAGCCTTTTGAGTTCACCGACTCTTATCTTGTTTAGACAAGGTCATATTCAAAGTGGAGGTTCTCTCCTCCCTTCAGAGAAAGGTACCTCCTTCTTCGAAGACCTGTTCTTTCCACTGGGATCTCACTCACAGAGATCTTTGATTTAGGGTTTTGTTTTTTTTTTTGTTTGTTTGTTTTTTGCCACAGTGTCTTGGCTTTCCATGCCTGAAATACTCTCATGGGCTTTTCAGCCAGATCCGAATGCCTTTAGGGCTGATTCTGAGGCCAGAGTGCTGTTTAGGACATCCGCCATTCTATGAGTCTGCTGAGTATCTCGCTTCCCATGTTGGATCACTCTCCCCTTTATTTATTCTATCAGTTAGTATTAGCAGGTACTAGACTTGTTTATGTGCTCCCTTTGACTCTTAGTCCTTTCATTATGATCAATTGTGAACTGAAATTGATCACTTGGAATAGTGAGATGGCATTGGTACATGCCACCTTGATGGGATTAAATTGGAGTCCCCTGGTATGTTTCTAACTCTACCATTTGGGGCAAGTCAGCTTGAGCATGTCCCAAATTGTACATCTCTTCCCTCTCTTATTCCTACTCTTATGTTTAACAGGGATCACATTTCAGTTAAATTTCAACACTTAAGAATAACTGTGTATTAATTACAGAATTAAACCAGTCATATTAAGTAGAACAGACAAAAAAACTAAGAGGGATAATGTATTAAGTTGTTCATTAACAGTCAGGGCTATGCTGATCAAGTCACCGTTTCCCATAGTGTCCATTCCACTTCAACAGGTTTCCTTTTTGGTGTTCAGTCAGTTGTCACCGATCAGGGAGAACATATGGTATTTGTCCCTTTGGGACTGGCTTATTTCACTCAGCATGATGTGTTCCATATTCCTCCATTTTGTTGCAAATGACTGGATTTGGTTGTTTCTTACTGCGGTATAGTATTCTAAAGAGTACATATCCCATAATTTCTTTATCCAGTCTACTGTTGATGGGCATTTAGGTTGGTTCCAGGTCTTAGCTATTGTGAATTGAGCTGCAATAAACATTAGGGTGCAGACCGCTTTTTTGTTTGCCAATTTAAATTCCTTTGGGTAAATTCCAATGAGTGGAATTTTTGACAGGCAGAGTTAGACAGTGAGAGAGAAAGACAGAGAGAAAGGTCTTCCTTCCGTTGGTTCACTCCCCTAATGGCCGCTACGGCCAGCACTGTGCTGATCCGAATCCAGGATCCAGGTGCTTCCTCCTGGTCTCCCATGTGGGTGCAGGGACCCAAGCATTAGGGCATCCTCCGCTGCCCTCCTGGGCCACAGCAGAGAGCTGGACTGGAGAGGAGCAACTGGGACTAGTACCTGGTGCCCCAACTGGGACTAGAACCTGGGTGCTGGTGCTACAGGCTGAGGATTAGCCAAGTGAGCCGTGGCACTGGCCTGTAGATTTAGGTCTTTAATCCATTTTGAGTGGATTTTTGTGTAAGGTGTTAGGTATGGGTCTAGTTTAAAACTTCTGTACATGGAAATCCTGTTTCCCCAGCAGCATTTGTTGTAGAGCCAGTCTTTGCTCCAAGGATTGATTTTAGCTCCTTTTTCACAGATAAGTTGGTTGTGAATTTATGAGTTGATTTCTGGACTTTCTATTCTGTACCATTTGTCTACAACACTGTTTTTGTGCCAGTACCAGGCTGTTTTGAATATAACTGTCCTGTAGTATGTCTTGAAATCAGGTATTGTGAGGGCTCTGTCTTTGTTTTTGTTGTATAAGATTGCTTAGGTATTTGGGGTCTCTTGTGTTTCCATATGAATCTTAGCATCATTTTTTTAGATCTGTGAAGAATGTTGTTGGTGTTTTGATTTGGATTGTATTGTGTCTGTAAATTGTTTTTTGTAGTATGGACATTTTGATTATATTAATTCTCCCAATCCTTGAACATGGAAGATTTTCTGATGTTTTAATATCCCCTTCTATTTATTTCTTTACTGCTTTGTAATTTTGATTGTAGACATCTTTGTCGTCTTAGTTAAATTTATTCCAAGGTATTAAATTTTTTTGGAGCTATTGTGAATGAGACTGATCTTAAAAGTTCTTCCTTAGCTATGACATTGTCTGTGTATGTTGCCAGAGAAGGAAAGGGTCCTTGTTTTTGTGCAAGAAAGAATTCAGGTGTGAGACAGAGAACAGGGGGAAGCAACATAGCAAGGTTATTAGGGTAGGGACATCCGTAAGAATGGATGGGCACCTCTCCAGACAGAACCTGAGAGAGAGTGTGTAGTTCACATTTAGGCTGGGGCTTTTAAGGGGATGGGCTTTCCTTCCTGCCTTTTCCCTCCCCCTCTCCTTCTCCTGATCAAAGGACTTGTTGGGTGTAAATACGAAAAATTCCTT